TAAACCGGACTTAAATCCAACTTCCTCACCCAATTCAACAGGCCTCCAGCGTGTGTCGGCAACAAACCGAGTGCCATCGCGCAGTGATTTATATTCAGGGAGCGCCACAAAGTTTCAAAATACCTACTTGTCATTGTAATACAATAGCTGATGCAACAGAGAGGTTCCAATGGATAGGGCTGCTTAAGGGAAGTGTTTACACAAAATACAGACAACAGAAACCCTCGTTCCATGAGCTTACATGTTGTCCTGTCCGGGATATTTGCTGCTGGACATAAATGGACGATGCTGCCCTTTGTTTCTTTTAGGAAAGACTCTCCAGATGCTCTTCTGAACTCAAGGACAGGGAGCCATTTGACGTGGAAACAAACCTGGCAGAGAATTAAACAGATGGTACAACACCATCTACATCTGTCTAGCACCTCTAGTCCACTTAGACTGGACTAATCTCATCGTAAATTCACAAATATAGGTCAGTGATTTATGCTCTGCTTAACATTAGCGCTTTACATTATACATAAGCGATGTATTCCTGATGTGACAACATGACAACATCTCGGATCTTACTCGAGAGACGTGAATATGTGCTTTTACTATCCTAACTGTCTATGTCCCGTTCTGTAGAGGACAAGAACCGACTACAGCACGAGCAAGGAGGCAGACAGGAACTAATTGAATCTCAAACTGTAGGTGACAAGTATGTTCATGGCATGTTAAGCTCTTGAGTGCTCTGTAGGATACTTTCAACCCCCCTCAGCCCCGTCAGTGATATAAGCCAGCAATAGTCATGTGGATTTCTGTTTTTATGTAAAACTTTAGCCAACAGTTTTTTGTTTTGAACGTCTTTACTTGAAAAATGGAAAGCAAAGTTATATTTGACTCTTCCCTTTTTCTTTGCTTAAACCCGAAAAACGATCCGAACTGGACTCCTGAACCGTGAGGTTTGTGATCCATTGCACCTCTAGGCGAAAGTAAAGGCCCCACAGAGAGAGATGGATAAAAACACTGCACACAGAAAGGTGCCAGCTGACCTGAAACACAGGAATTTGTTGCAGAGAGGCAGCCGTGCCAACTAAATGCTCACCAAATGATCAGGGTCTCAATCCTTGTTTTAAGAGCAATATGCACAGAGCACTGAGGGAAACAGGTGAAAAAAGTTATTATAACCAATAAACAACATTCATTTTTTGACAGATACTTAACGCACAAGCGGTGCTGTTTCGAAACCAACTTTGTGCAGCTAAAGAAAGCCCCATTCAGTCTCCATTTTTCAGTGACAAAGGCAGCGACAGCTGTCAGCTGCTGCAGAGCGTGTATTTGTCCAGGATCTATTCACGCCGGCTTTTCTCCTGTCAAAAGCGGCCTGCTGGTTTTGCTCGTGCTGTCATCCTCAGGCAGAGGGACACTGGGAAATCCTATGAACAACGTTTGTGCCGCATTCTGAGGACGTTCCTCCGGCCCGGCACTGCAGTGAGGCCTTCTGGGGGATTTGGAGGCCATTGTTAAGAAAGCTCCAAGAGGAATCCTTCCCAACAGAGTCTGTGTGCGATGGACAATAAAGTAGATGCTTTGCTGTCAAATGAAAAGACTAATTATGATGCACGGCCAGCTAGTGTGCTAATCACGTTGATCCGCTCTTGCTGAAGTGAACAACTGAATTCTATGTCAGTCGGTTAGATCAGAGAAACCAAGATGGTGGTTGAAGATGGAGAGAGCTTTTAGAATATAAAGTAAAACAAACAGAGGGGTGACAGACAGCGGAGACCTGTGCAGAGGAATTCCTCCACGTGTCAAACCGAAGGGGGAAAAGTCACAAACAGACCACTTTAGGCACTGATAATGCCTGCAACATGTTGGTAGCTGCTGGGCTACTTCCATCTCAACATCTACCCGGCACGGCACACAGTCTGCAGAGGTTTGCTAAACGTCTTTGCTAAACGTGGGAAGATTGTTGGCACTTGGCCTGTCAAATGACAGAGTTGAGAGCACAGCAAAGTGCACGCGCACAGCAGTTCCAACATGTTCCATGAAATTCTGCCTCAGAGATGATCAAATGTGTGTACTTTTGTGTTTAAAATACAAATACAATTAAAAAGTGGGTCTAAAATACACTTTCTGAAGTGACTACGCTTTAATTTATAAGGTTTGGCAAACTTTTAAATCGTGATTAATCTAGATTAATGAAATTCAAAATGTGAGATTAAGTCTTTTTATTTATTTATTTATTGAAACTCCTAATATAAATGTCAACAAGACAGGCTGCAGCATAGAAGCATCTTATCCCATCAACTGAAACTTCAGGTATGGACACGTACTCTAAGACACGACACTTTAGCAGTGAAAGTTTGGCATTAGTCTTTGCTATTTTACAATATTTTTGTTCATAAAAAGGATAGAAGTTTACGGTTCTTAATGTCTTGGGGAATTCTATTTTGTGGAAATAAATAGACTTTCAGTGATATTGTTTTTGTGGTGCCAGTGTTCTGGTCTAACCTGCTTTTATTGAATCACTTTATTTCTCTCTCAAAGTGACCAATAGGGCCTGCGGCCATGTGTGAACTACTCATGCGTCCAGAACAGTCAGAAAAGCACATTTCTCATTGATGACCATACTACGGGACAGACGGATGGAGGGATTAGAGATCCAAACCACTGCGATGCCTGAATCGAGGACAGAATGGGGCCTGTGGGTCATTGCCAGTATTTGGCAAAAGAAATTGTGAGGTGTGAAAAGCAGTCTTGTCAATAACTGTGTGTTTGCACTAAAGTATTTGTGGCTGTGTGCCATCACAGAGACCTTCCAATCAATCCTTGATTAACTCTGTGCCAAACTTACAAACAGTATTTCTGATGATACAAAATTAAAAAATAAAACAATGCACTGTTTTGTGAATTATGTTACAATAAGCAAAATCCCAGACAATTTCCATTTGCAAATCTCATGTGATATCTTATTCTTATCGTACCGATATCTGCCTCAGCTCTGTATAAATGGAAGCAAAGGAAGATGGCTGGCAGAGCCATGCTGAGCCTGAAGCTGCTGTGTGCTATTTCTGAGAGAAACTGGGCCGTACTGGCCTACATATCTGCTCTGTGCACCTGTTTAATGGACTAACTCTGAAGAGCCCTAAAGGCCAAACTGCTCCAAAATGATAACTAGTGTTACCTGAGCTGTTTAACTCAACTCCTTGCCGATGAGCGGCTCCAAAGCACAGTGATGCTCACAGAGTTAACTAATGAAATCATATGCACGTCTCCTTGATCCACAGGGCAGAATTTAATGAGCCCAAAAAAGTTCGGCATAATTCCCACTGAATTAGAGCATACTACTCAACATTTTAACCACAGAGGCCTGGAGAACCAAAGCAAAACCTAAATGATATGTTAATGGTGGTTATTGTGTACTCTGTAGAGGCTACATGCCTGTAGCAGAGCACGCTGGCTGCTGCTCCCCCATCTCAAGTAGGTAACGGATTTCAGGTTTGTCTCTGAATGAACCTAAAACCTCAATACAAGTTCAGAGCTTTGGATGCTCTCGGGTCAAACAAATTCAACAAACACTTCTAGATGAATATAACTGTCCCACTATTGGCTGTGACACACGAGAAAGGCTGGAAGTGAGCCTGTGCACTTAGTAGTTTACAGCCTCTGCATCTTTCATGAAGTAGCTGTGAAACTGGCCACAACCACAGAATACTCTTTAAGTACTTCTTGGTACAGTGCCGCTATTTTAAAAGCTGATGGCAGCACAAAGAGGTCAGAAAAACTTTTACAATTTGGATGGCTTTAATCGGTATAAATGATAATGCACCAAAACCCGTGCAATGCTCCATTATGCTAACAAAAGACTACACAATAGGACATATATGCACTCTAGTAGAGCAGAGTCAAGATCATCCATGATTTGTTACGGGAGAAAGATCCGCTCACACTGACTGGAAAGCTGCTCCCGGCTCGCCAGTCTCTCAGACATCGTTTGCTCATTAAAGTTAGTATCTGCTGAGGAATGACAAACCCAAGAGGAGTAGAAATGTGCATTAGCAGAGGATCTCTCTCTTGACTGAACATCCTTGAGAATACAAACTGGGTGCCTACGGTCTGAAAAGAGTAAACACATACTGAGGCTGCGTCCATCAGTGACAGACCAGTGTGCGCTGTGTGTTGTCAAATCCAGAATCCGTCAATCCCACCAATCACATTAACGAACAGCCAGCGCAGGCCACACAGACAGTTGGCACAACAGATGAAGATCCCCAGGAATAAAATGGTATGCGGGCAGGGAACGTGACATCTGTCATCCACGCGAGCTGATCCAATGCCCTTGAGAGGTCGTGGTGTAAACCAACTGTGAGGGCTAATGATTTGGACTATTATTCACCCTTTTCAAAAATCAAACACGAACACAGTAATCCACCACGCAACACACACATGTGCCCCCGTCCCGGGCACTAGATCATCAGTGTGTTGCTAAAGCATAGGAGGTAATTCATATTCGCTCGGTTACTTCCATCACGACAACCAAAAGGACTGAACCAACGGTTGAATGCAACAAGTTCATTCTTCCTCTGGAGTTGAATGGCATTTTGAGGAATAATAATTAGGTGACCACAGTTGGAATGTCATAAAATGTATCTATTGCATTAAAGGTTTGGGTACATAAAATGCTTTTAGGCAAATTCCCTTGCTTTAATTTTAATTGAGCAGTGAAAATCTGAATATACTTTAAAATCGTGTTCCACTCACCTCACTAAACAACAAACGTGCTGATTGAAACCTCAAAATTGATCAGCTATCCAACATTACACTGAACCCTAGCAGATCTTTGCCACAGAAATCAGGCGTACTTGGAGCAGTAGGAGGGAATCATTGGACGTCACCACCGTCAAAGAAATTTGTCACACTCTTCATCACAAACACAACAGAGTAAATGTATTAAATGCCACGTGACAGCGTGTGAAAGGCCAATCTTATTTATTATATTTAGGATGTAAATCGCCTACCTTATGGGTGTAAGGTGCTTCTCCCAGGTTGATTCCATCTTTTGCAAGTTTATCCCTCAACAGCACCTTGAGCTTCAGTCTGGGATAAGTCACAAAATCCTTACAGTCTGTAAATCTCAGGTCATGGTTTCCAGGACAAGAGGCCTCGTGTGTCCCCGCGGTACGGGGTCGTGACCTCAAAGTCCGGATGCCGTCTTGTCTGTTTGGGAGTAGAGAGCGGTTGCAGGTAGAGGGATCCAGGGGCTCTAAGGTAAAATAGTAGCCGGGCGCTTTGCTGCCGTCCTCGTATTTCAGCTCGTGCACCGCTGCGAGAAGCCGGTGCCTGTGGTACTGAATTTGCACGCCTATGGCGTCGAGGTCTGGCTCCCCAATCTGTTTACAAACCTCCAGATCGTCGTAGCCATTGTCAATGAAGGACTCCACGTACTGGGCCAGGTGGAGCTTAGAAAGCCACTCGAGGACGAGGTTTGGACCGTGGCTCATCCTGAAAGCGGTCTCCAGGAGGCCTGCCTTAGGCGCGCGTCATCCCGTCCGTCCACACAGCTCCAAAAAGTTCTTCTTCTACAAGCGAAACGCAGGAGTTAGATGTGGCCACTGTGAATGCATAACTGGAGGCACATTTTTACTGTCAGAAGCCCTTTAACGGATCCCACGCCGGCTTTAACAAACCTGGTCCTGACCTGATGGGAAGGTTCGGATCCTCTTGACCTTTGACACCTCTCGGAGGCGTACAGGTCAGCGTGCGTGAAACCCCCCAAAGCGAAGAAGCTACGATTGCACTCAAGCTAAAAAGAGTCCAAATTGACTACTTTAATAGCGTCAACCGTTAAAAACAACTTAACGGTCAGCGAACAGTTGACGGATGCGTCGCGAGCACTTGGCGTTAAGTTAAGCGAATACACGTTTCAGCGCGCGCTCACTTACTTTCTGTCGCCGACGGCATCGTGAAGTTAAAATACCCTTTTTCGGTGAAGCCAGTTGGCGTCTTCATTCAAGCCGCGTCCGTCCTCTTTGTCTCAATCATCGCAACAGTCAGAAAGGGAAAGACGCTCGGGTCCGTCTAACATTCACGCGGAGCGAAAACACGTTCAAAAGCTCGACGCTGACGCCCGAGCAACACGCGCAAGTACCACGAAAAAACGACGCGCCGTGCCGGGTTCAGGGGTCACCGGCCGGGGGGGGTCGCCAGGAGCTTTCGCCGTGAACAACTCGTCGGCCCGTCTGCTCCATCCGCCGGGTTCGGGCTGCGTGTGAGGAAGATGCTGTGGACCGGCTTCACTCACCGCCGGGAGACTTTTTAGCCCGCAGCACGGACGGACGGACGGGCGCTCGAGGAGCGTCACCGCCCCCTGCAGGGGCTTCTGGGAAATGTAGGAATGAAATAGAAACTATGAGGTACATCAAGTCAATATTTAAATCTCATGTGACAAAGCAGATTTTTAAATGAAGTGTGCATTTTCTAGCAATTACCCCGTTGCACCACTCAGCAGTTCACGGGTTGTCTTTTTTTTCTATGACAGAAAAGTTCCATTTAAGAATAAAGTAAAGCATTAATTTATTTAATATATACATACACAACAGAAAATACGAGACAAAACATGTTATGATTTGGGTTTTACATTTATTTTCCATTGCACAATAATATCTATATATACTGTATCTACAGTCTAGATTGTTTGTGGCAGCAGATTAAGCCAGACATCCATGTGAAATTTATTTTAATAAAACTGTACAAAAATTGCCTACTATGAGAAAATACTGCAAACCACAGATATTCATCCCAGAAGACAGACAGATGGAAGTATGGCGACAGAGAAACCCCTGAGCTCTCCTGCACGGTGCTGTGAGCTTTCTACAGTGCAGGGAAAGCAAGAGTTTCCACAAAGCAAACAGTAACATAAACCGATGTACCAATAAAATATACATTTTTCACACTTACACAATTGGCATGATCGAATGAAAATGGGACAACTTCTGACGCGTGATGAGAACTTCATTTTTGTTCAACATGGTGGTAAATACAAATGCCAGAACAGACAGACATAATACATGGTTGTTTCAAGTTTGTAAACACTTAATATCATGCATCCTTCAATGTGCAATAAGAGACCATTGAGACCATATATGTTGCAAACTGAAGCACTTGAAAGTCGAGATGCGACTTTGAATAAAGAACCGGCAGGCCGCCAAGAGGCGGTGACCCTCCTGCAGTTTGAATTTGGGAGGGGCATGTTCAACACAGAACCAGAAAATGTTTGTTCTCATGTGTGGGTGATGGATCATTATGCACAACCATAGTTTTGACATTAGGGAGTTATTCTATTCCATAGAATTACATTAAAAGGTATTCATTTTAATAGATTGTTGAAATTAAAAGTACATATTTGTTTTCAAATATATAAATATATCATAGTATCATTAACCTGACATTGAAAACAAATCTGAGAGTGACGCTATCGGCATAATTGGCAAATTACATAGATAACCATAGGTACGGTCATGTTTTGGTCCTTTCAAAAATAAGAAAAACTGGACAGAGAAAAATAAACACTAACTCAATTATTTTATGTACAAAAAAATAGTGCAAAACCCACATAACTGCTCTTTCAGATTGGTTTACCTCAGCAGTACACAGTAGAGCAGTTCCAAACCAGCCAGCTCGAAGTGAAGGGTTTCCTTCCATTAACACGTGCCACAATTAAAGACTCAACCGTATTCAGGATTCAACACGAAGATCTAACTAAATGGAGGAAAACCAACTTCATGCTTGCAACCTTTTTTCATGAGTCAGTTTCAGAGACAGATTCTCTCACTTCGTTCAAATTCACTTGTTTCCATGTAGAGCAGTTGGGGTAATGAGTGCGGCATGCCCGTAAGAAGAGCGTAAAGACAGTCCACCCTTCACTTCTTTCAGTAGACTTCAGAGTGTCAACAGTAGGGAAAAAAAAGATCAAGACAACTCTGTGAAATTAAGCAACTCTTTGGTGTCGGAAAAGAACATGGCCGCAAGCGTTCAGTATGTCACGTTGGACCCGTCAGATTTGTGTCCAGCTGTTATTTACAACATTTGGCAGCAATCTGGACGGACAAAGAATTGCCTCCGTTTTTCAAAATAAAAGACCAACGATAATGCTCCTACATTGTACACAATTAGCAGCATATCCCGGCATCTCCTGAAAAATAAATTTGATTACAATAGAATTCTAGTTAACCACATTGAAAAACACTGTCAAGCTAAAACAAAAACCTCAAAAGACCTATTGCAATACACTATGTAGAATTCTAAATATTGGTGGGCGTACACATATTCCTGAACACGCGCACGCATCATGAGGCAAAGGCAGAAGAGAAACAGCTCTGAAGTGAATGCTTCAGAGAGAGATGACCAGTGGAGAAAACACTTCTCATTTCTACTGGCAGCTATGAATAACATGACAGCATTACCTTTTCCATCAGTCAGCCCCCCCCCCCCCACAACTCGAGAACCAAGACCAGAATCAGTGGCGACAAAATCAAAATGCCACAAAAATAAGTAAATAATTGTGTATAGTAGAATCTTTATCACAAAAAAATATGTTTAACCAAAATATACATTTATGCGAATCATAACAAGGACAATCGTATTGCCCTTCAGCACAGCTTTCGTCTTATACATATCTTAGCTACAACCCCTAAAAGGACCTTCAGAGGCTCTCCAGTGTATCAACTCTTCACTTTGATAGATCAGTGTAAACTCTTGAGCAGGGGAAAAAATTCAGCACTTTTCTTTGCGCATTTGATACTACAAAAGGAAAAACATTACTTCTATGACAAAGATACTGTACTTGTATAGTTCCAATAAATAAACTAATTAAAAATCAGAAAAAATAAAGGGATCTTTAGAAAACACGTAATTTGTCTTGCTAACGTAAAACAATTTGTTTGGGAAACGCTGTGAAAAGGAATGGTCGGTAATGAACTACTGTACTACCAGCCCTTTTTTGGTGAGGCAATAGACGCATCATCTCCCTGTCTAGCTTTTAACGGTGCTAGAAAGGCCCTTTCCGGACAAACAGGTAAATTAACATTTGTAGACGTTGAAAGGAAAAACCCAACACACAGGAGTCCTTCATCAATTCCAATCATTCCCACAGAAACAGACACCTTCATTAGACATGAAGCACAACGTGTCGTCAGACTTTTATCCTCATTTGAGTCAACTTTGTTGAACAGACATCATTAAGATCAGAGAAAGCAAAATCAGGCCACCACAGTATATATGATTTGCAAAATCGTCTTTCCTTTTTCCAAACAAAACAGTGGTTTGTGTGTTTTTATATATATATATTTGACTGCATGACGGATGGATATGAAAAGGTCACCTCTTTGCTGCTCTGCAAAAGAAGTTATATGAACACCATCGCTCTCAGGTGAAATGAAAGATTTCTAACAGCTTCTCTTCTTCCGTTGCGTTCCGTTCTCATTACGTTGGGTCGGCCGGCGTCTCCTCGGCGCCGCTCCTCCAGCAGCTGAGGTAATGCAGAGTGTGTGATATTGTGCTGAGAACAGAAGCAGGAGTCCGTTGATCAGAACCCCCCCGTGGAGGGAAATGGAGGATAGAAGAAGTGATACTGGTGATTAGAGTCCAAAGCTCCACGCGCTGCCATCAGAGCTGGTACCACTTCTTATCTTTGTACTTCAGCATCATCTGGGAGGTTGAAAAGAGGGAAAAATGTGTTTAAAAAAAAGAAAAGTTAACCTGAAAACAATCTTTTCAGTGTCCAAAGACATGAAAGGTGCGTACGTCATGAGCATGTTTGGAAAACGAATCTGCGCTGGCCATCATGGCGGCCGTTCTGTCTTCCAGCTCCCCCAGTTTCTGCCCTCTCTCATCCAGAGCTATCCGTGCACGAGCCAGATCTCCAACAACGCCAGACGCTGCACACTTCATTCCCTCCATGCCCGCCGGGCCAGGTATGTGCTGGGCCAGGCTACGGGAGGCCTTACCAGCACCGGTTTCCCCAACTGCCAAGGACAAAAAGTCCATTTAAGTGTTATTAAAAGGTCAAATGACACATTGATGTGAACTTGTTCTGTAAATGAAGTATTTTGAGCTGGTGGCTTTGGTCATTCAGCAACAACAGAAATAAATAGAATATATAAATGGGCCGGTGTTTACTCACAGAGGTCCTCTCTGTCCAGAGACTGAGCTCCGCCCCCAAACAGGCCTTTGAAGAAACCTCTGTTAGGAGCCTCTGGTGTCTCCACAGGGGTAAATAACTCACTGAGCATCTCCTGGGGAAGACATGAACATCCACACGCGTCTATTTCAATACACATTCCCGACTTTGTCGTCACTCGTCACTTGTTCGCTAGTGCACTTTATGCTTAATATTTAAACTATAATATTTTAAATTTTTAACTTTATTCCCTTGTTTTATACTAACCCATAGCCTTATTCTTTTTTTTTTTACTTACCCATTGCATTGGCATATCATTTTACTTTATTTTATTACTTGTGCACTGCTGTCCTGTTGTCTATTGTTACACTGTCTGTCATGCACCAACCGCCAAGACAAATTCCTTGTATGTTTGACATATTTTGGCAATAAATGTTTCCCGATTCCTGATACAGAAATATATAAAGGATATACCATATAACTTTGGGTGCCAATAGTGAGCATTTAAGTATTCTTTTCAACCACATTTGTAACACTAGTGACCTCAGCGGTTTAAAGGCGGACATATCTTTTTAATTTGGTCCCATATTAAACAGTTCTTCTTCACCTCCACTTCATCCGTTCGTTATTGTGTCTAACCTGCTCAAACGAGTCTTGTTATGAAGTCTAGAGTCGCTTCCACATTGTTGACATCTTCAGTCATGACATGGAAATACTTGACTAAATACTAAAAAAAACCTCTCAGCTGTGTTTTCGGCGTTCTGACAAAGACACCGGCCCTCCTCTCTGCAGCTCTTCCAACGTGGCCTTCGTGGAACACGTCACATGACACAACAACAAACAGTAATTTATCTGACCTGTCGATTGTCGCAGGTCTCCTGGCTGTAAGTGATCCTCTGGATCTCAGTGGGCGAGGTGAGGTACAGGGCCTGACCCAGGTTGGAGAAGCAGAACGTTCTGGCTATCCGCATATCCGTCAGCGGCAGGTAGTTCACGTCCAGCAGAGGCCGTAGACTGGGCAAACTGGGACGATATAAAAAGACGTCACGTTAAATGTTAAAAGCGGATTAACTTCGCACTAGAAGCTCCCAGGAGTCGTACCTCAGAGTCATGATGTGCCCGTTGGCACAGAAACAGGCGATGCAGTACGCCCCGGCCATCTGCACGACGTCGGCCCTCAGCACGAAGGAGGACTCTGTGATGTTGTGTTTGTAGACGCGGGTTTGGGAGGGCATGGCCAACACCTTGGCCTGCTTCTCCGAACACAGAACGGCGAACTGGGCCTCCGGACCCTCCTGGGACGAGGGAGGGGATGCCGGCCTGCGCCTCCGGCTCTTCTCCTTCTCCTCGTCGGAAGCATTTGGGTCGTACCAAGACTCAAAGGAAGGGGGCAGCAGAGCTCCAGTGGCGTCCAACAGGGCCATGGTCAAAATGCCTCCTTTGAGTGTGACCATAGTGCCTGACGAGTATTACGAAGGGATTTGTTTTCATTTCCATAAGACTGCACACGGACACACTTAAACCAAATAAATAATATATAATAAATAATGAATAAAACAACTTCCACCAGCCACCCAACCTTTACAGATTTATTTGTCCTGTGCTTACTCTATATTTTTGTGAGCTTGTTTCCCATCACATAATTTTTAACCCTGTTTTTAATGAAAGTCCAACATAATACTAAATAAATCTGATGTTTTATTCCCTTTTTTTATATATTACAACCATGCAATATGGAGGGTTGCAGGTACAATTCAAGCTAATGTACTTTATAAAAGGGTTGATGATGAGTACACAATGCATTTGAAGCCAAAACGTTGATAATATTGTACTGAACTTATAGTCATAAGTATACTGCTGTAAGACAGAAAAATGTCGTCTGAGGATTTGATACTGTTCATAGCAACTACTCAAATTTATGTAAGGAAATTTTTTGGCTGAATCTAATCTGGCTCAAATTGTTTGTGAAAACAGAGTTACAGAGTTTAAGTTCCACCACTTCCTTCCTGAATCTTAACTCCTGCAAGAGACCGTGAACACTAGACACTCACAGTACGCGGTTTCAGTTGCAATTGCTTGTCATTAGAAGTCGCAATTGAGGTTATTAAATGTTCCGTGGCCCCCACTCGCCCTACCTGGTCAATTACTTACTAAATCAGCTCAGCTTCTTACCACAAGAGGAGATGCCGACGGGTTGCTGCAGCCTCTGGTCCACAGCGGGCGGGAGGCTGAGGGCCACCATCACCACAGTGCCCTGGGTGGTGCCCACCAGCAGACAGGGGCCCACCGCGCCGTCCATCTTCCTGGGGTAACTCTCACAGAAGTGAAAGGCGGAGATGGACTCTCGAGATTCTCTATCTATGCTGGTCACACTTGAACTACGTGAGCGGGTGAATGTGTTATCCTTGGCATCTGGGCAGCAGGATTGAGCACAAAAAAACAAAAAACAGAATCAGGAAAAGATTTGTGTGGAATGAAAACCGGTGAAAAAAACAAATGTTACGGCATAAAATCCATTGTGAAAAAGTGAAAAAGTGTTAGTATCAGCTACTATTTCATTTAGTGTTCACACGTTAGCGTCAGTAAAGATGAGTCATCCCCAAAAAGCTTTTTGACATTGAGATGCTCTTGCAGTTTACATCCAAGGACGCATTTTCTTAAAATGCTTCCCACGATGTACTTCTTTACAATTCAATTGACAACAACAACAACGTTCTCAATGTGGAAAAGTTGCGCAGTATCACCCGTGAGGTTCTACGGGGACTCCCAGGAAGAACTGGTATTTAAGGAGCACGAACTATTCATGCCTCATTACTGTGCTGACAGCAGCTGAAACAGAAGCTTTTATCCTCGTTAAAAAAAAATCCCAACAGAAAGACAGAGGTCCATGACACGGGGAGGGGGGGGGGGTTAACAGCGCCTGTCACGTGTGTTCCTGTAAACGAGAAAAGCAAGATTTCCCAACACGGAGCGCAGTGAAGTCGGCGGAGCTTCCTCATAGAGAACGAAACAGTCATTGTGAGAGTATTAGTGTCATGTTAACCAATTCAGAGGAAAAAGCCCCAGCAGTGGTGGGGGTTAGTACCGGTTATCCCACTGCAGCCCATGTCAGACCATTGCTGGTCCACTCACAGAAGTTGGGGGCCGATTCGGTTCTACAGACGGGGCCCTTGGGGGTCATCCGGGCTGCCGCCTGGCCTCGGCCCAGGCAGCAACTGTGCTTCTTACGCGTGAAAGAGTGCCATTGTTTGGACCTCTCCTTTGCTTACGATGTAAACAGAGAGGGTTTGTCTCGACTTACAGTATGACATTCCAAGACAACAACAACAACAGGATCTGCACATTTGCACCAAATTTAGAGCGTTAAATGTACTCTGATAGAAGGATTCTACAGTCGTGAACTCAATTCAATGAAGATTCAAGTGACAGAAGGACACCTGTAGAGAGATGTTTTGGCTTACCCAGGTCTGTCTTTGGCTCGCTAGACGAGCTAATTTTCCGTGACATCTTGGCTGTAACAGAAACAAATACTCATATTGTATGGAGAAAGAATTATGGCTAAAATGGAAATGAATGAATTACAATCAAAAGATCCAATCTGCGACATCGCTTCCACTGTGCAAATCAGTGCGCAATCAAAAAGGAGGATGTTGAGTCATTCCCAAGAGTGGTGATACACTGAAGGACAACTAGTGTACACCATGTGCAACACGAGCCTGATTATTTCTGCTCACCTTGATATTGCCTGTTAAGTTTACAGGCATGTTTGTTAACAATGTCATTAATATTTTAGCGAACATGGTGTCGGAATGAACAGCGCGGTTTAACTTGCTGTTATTAAGCCTTGTGCACACAAGCATTTTTATAATAGAGACCATGATTCCATTCTATTTATTGGTTTTGTTGTATGGTTTTCATTTTATGCAATATTTACCCAGATTATATTTTATTACACGTTATCATTTTAATTGCATAAAATAGTCTTAAAATGACAAAAGTATTGTTTATAGCAATTACCCTGTGAAGAGTTGACCGTGACGGGTCTTTATATAAAGTATATTGTCAATAACTCAACAAAACTGCACTTATTTCAGACAAATGTCTTTCAATTGACCTGAGGTTGAACTTTTAACTTTGTTGCTTGCTACTAGGAGTGTTTTCAATACAAAGCATTAGAGCTGCCTGTCGCAGTCTATAACCACACTTAGAGACACCGTGAGAATACAAATGGGGCTGAGCAGCATCACAGACAACCAAAGGGCCTGCAATATCAAACAAAGCAGGAGACAGTCAGGAAAGGAATTCAGTGAACAGTTATGCAAAGACAGTAGGAAGAGCATTGAACTGAAGCTCTGGAACCAGAAACACACGCAGCAAACATCTACAAACAGGGTAAGGAATTCAACATTTAAGTGACACGGTTAGACATTAGTAATTTAAAGAACAAGGCATGAAGCAGATTTTCTATGCTTTTGGGTTTGGTGAAAAAGCAACATTTGCCAATTGGGCATATTATTTACAAGCCAGAGCAGCAAAAGCCAGAGCATTTTGGCAAAAATGTGCATAGAAAATCTGAGGCCTGAGATTCGTAAAGGCGTCCTGTCATGCATTTAATAAAGAATCCGGATTCATTTCAGAAATCAACTCAGAAATCCCCAAACCGTATGATTAGTCAAAATACATTTCTTGGATTCCCTTCGGCACAGATTGGCAGAGGTTTAAGGCACAGTGCGGTTAGAACGCTATCATTCAGAGCGACAGAGGGAGCACTCGGACAGAATACATCTGGACGATACAGTACCAAAGTCATTGGCAACCGTCTTGGAAAAGCGTCTGCTTTTGAACTTCACTGTAAATAAGGTTCAAAAAGAGAAATCAGATATCTGCAGTCACCTTGAAATGCTTAGATTTGAGGGGGCTTATAGCGTTTAACAATACAGTACCCTTCTCTATGAACCGCTGTTTTCGTTCATCATCAGAATTGCAAGGTGAAGTAGATCCTACGTGACAAAGATCAGCCCTTGAAAAATGTCTCTATTTCTCTTTCTGTATTTCTCAATAATAGAAGGATCTCTTTTTGCGTGTGACGCACTCTTACCTGAAGTGGGAGATTTGCAGCGGTCCTCTGAGGTGTTGGACCCGTCGTTCGAATCACAGGTCGCTGCGGGAGCCACAAAGCGAGTAATTAAACAGTGCAGGATTAGTCCTCTCGTGCTACTCTCAGAGAGGCTTACTAAAGATGTGCCAATTCCTACAGTCCAAAGACTGAAAACAATAAAAGGGTCATATTTGAGCGGAGGCAGGGATATCTACCGGTACAGTTAAGCCACGCTTGGGTTCACTTCACAAGCCTAGCACAGATCTGTTGACTCAGGGTGGAACTGCGGGTTGTTTGGTAAAGTATGTGGCATGGAGAGGTGGACTACCAGATTTTGTTTAAATGCCCTCAAGTCTCAAAAGGAAATTCACAGCTCACTGCTGCTGATGTTGTTGTTGCTGTTGAAAAGTGAGCTTTGAGGGTGCTGAATCAAAATCAGACAGTGCATCTCCATTAAAAAGGGGGAAGGCTTGGAGGAGAAAAATAATACATTGATGAGGAAAAGAAATTTAGACACAACATAACTTACTGAAGTGGGATGAACGTAGTTTTTTCACAGACTCAGAATACAAGTTAGAAAGTCTGGACATGCAAGACGTGCCAGTTGGAATGTCTTTACCAAATCACAGAGAGAGACCAACAGTAAAAAACAGTGAGACAGAGAAATGACGGGACATTGTAAGTGCAAAAGAAAAGGAAAGTCTCAGAGGTTTGCAGCGGAATTTTAAAGATTGAATCTATCAACAGTCCACTGAGACTGAGAAGAATGACTTTAAACAGGGGATGACAAAACAGAGCAAAGGTCAAGACATAAACAGTGAGGCTAAAAATAGCAAATAAACATGAACTACGTCTCATCTTATTGAATGAAACTGAATCAAAAGGAAATGCTACTAAAGCACTGATGCAGCATTCAGTCCGTCCAACTGAACAGATGGAGGATCCGTCAGTGATGCCCCCTGTTGAGGGACAGGAGCTACTGCAGGGGGCGGTGCTCCTGGTGCAAAGTCCAGTTCTGCTGCCAAGTGCCAGCTGCGCCTCACCAACACAGCGTTTAGCTGAATGCTAAGACGCCGCTTTCACAAAATAACTGCAGGGCGAGTATCAAATACATAAAGCATGCATTTCAGGGTTGATCATGTTAGTCAGGCTGCCTGAGCTATGGGGAGGGAGGACTGACCAACGGGGGAAACCGGACGTGAGATGCAGAATCGCTGGGAGGGCAGCTCACCTCCGGAGGACTGGCGCACTTTGCGTGGCGAGCGAGGCTGCCTGTGGTAGGGGTCTGAGGGGCTGTACAGCTCCGACGTGCCCATGTTGAGCAGTAGAGTTTTCTGGAGATAGTCGACCACGGCCAGACCGTTACTGTTCCCAAACACCACGCTGAAACACAGGAGGCACCCGGCACGATCAGGCTTTTGCCCCAAACTACTTGCTATGCTAAAAGGCATAAAGGCGTTATTCACAGATGCACTGCATAGTTACTGCTTTCACGAGATATAACATTAAAAAAAAATACAGACACCCAGTAATTAGGTAACTGTGGACCTAGAATGGCGTCATCTCATGTCAAACTATCAAGTGTGCTTACAGGCCGTAGGAGGAGTTGATAGCCAGGCTGGTGATTGGCTGAGGAGGCTCCCCGCTCACCCACACCAGCTGGATCACCAGCTCCACCTGGTAGCCCGGAGACTGCTTCAGCGGGGAGCTTCGCACCCTGCATCAAACACACAGTCGGAGGAGACAGCAGGAGTCACATTACACTGGAATGAGTTATCCCCGTTAGGTAGGCCACAGCGACAATTTCCTAACCTTGTTTTATTACTAATCCCCCTTCTATGGTCAAAACATGCTCCTTATTTATTTTATTTTTTCACATTTTGATAAAAAAAAAAAAAAAAGAGAATTATTTCCCCGTGTGGTAACGATGTGAGAATGCTGTGAAGGATTGAGCAGGTGACTGGAAGGAGTGAATGACTACATCACCTCACTTAAATCGGTATGTTCAGTGACAACCTGCTTCACCCAGTTCAACCTTTTTGCAAAACAGAACAAGAAATTGTCCGTACTGCAGGCATGCGATATTGTCCCTGGGTCCGTCGGAGGAGTTGCTTCCTGTGGAGGGCTGGCTGGGGGGCTCACTCTCCTGAGGGCTGGGGGAAGCTCCCGGGTTGGGCAGGGTGGGGGTCTGCTCTCCTCCCGGATCAGGGGAGTCCCCATTGCTAAACTCGCTCTGCATCCGCACCTCCAAAAGCTGAACAGGAGAGGTGAAATGTCACAAAGAGGCGCATTCACCACCGCTCTAAACACATGCAACAGATAGTTGTAGTCAGATAAAAAGGTTGCAACGTTGTGATGGATATTTGTGCAATTCTGCATGTTTCTGACTGATTGGTTGGTTCCCCCAACCTGCACAACTTCAGTGGTGACTTCTTGTTTGCTGAACCGATAGATGAGAACGTGGGCGGACACCCCGGCGACACAGAGCATCCTGCTCTCAGGGCACCAGGACATGGTCTGGATGGCAAACGGGTCCTCCTCTACTATGTCGGTGTTGGCCTTCTCCTCCTTACTGCGAGCCTTCTCAAAAACCTTGGCAGTCTTCAGCTTGTAGAGCACCTGGAGCATTACTTTGAGAAGAGTGCAAAAAGATGTTAGTACGGTGATGTGCACGAGAGCCGCAGTACACACTGGCAGTGTCACATGGATTAGCTCTTGTGAATTATGCATAAACCGATTTTAAAAACAGGGTCATGGTGGGAACTTATTTATTCATGCGGATGACACCGTTGGGTTTACACAGCAGCAGAGCAAGCTGCTAAAAACCCTCCTCTGGCAATGGTATTAGTAAGCTTGGTCTATTGTGTCTCCACCTAAATGTCCACAAAACTGGAAAAGTGTCCCGCTAGATGTTGATGACCACGTAAAGCTGGTCTTCAACTCTACAAGGAAAGAATGACTTAAGTCATGGAAGCAGGTTGAAGATATGTATCAAATACAATAATAGGCCCTTTATTTCCTCAAGTGCTGCCTAAGTATTGATGATGCACAACATTGTTCTTTTAATGGAGGTGAATACTTGTTCATTTTATGTGCAAATCCAACATTTCCACTCATCTAGACAAAATTCCTAATGATTGTTGTACTGGTGCATTGAATAATTTCCCCTAGCACAGAACAATAAATTAAAAAAAATTAAAAACTACTCACATGCGGAAGCATCCCAAAATTTGATCGACCCATCTGCATGTCTAAAATTATTGGGGGAAAAAAAGGAGAAAAAGAAAACACGTAATTATTTGTTTGCACGTGAATCAGAAAAACAAATCAATCGATTCTTTCATTCATCACAGGTTACTAACCCAGTGATTATGATCTCTGGGTAACTCTGAGTGCCTTGACCCCAGTTTCCTCCACTAATGGGCCATTCCTGCAAAATGAAATCAAAACATGTCACAATCAGCTGGATATCTATAGGCTTCATACCGTTGTGTTATCAGGTTAATAACATTATATATATATATATATATATATATATATATATGTCTCCAAAATCAATACCATGGCAGCTGAAGCACGGATTGGTCAGAGGAGTCCTTTACCTTCTTGCTGTAACCTTGTCTCTTTTGCCGGCTGCCGACTGAGTAAAGTGCAGGAATGAGTTCAGCAGGGCAGTCAACGAAGTATTCACAGCAGGTCACCGGTGACTCGTGGATAGTCAGAGGATATGGATTCTCAAATATCGGGTACCTGTCAAGACAACGTGCCATTAGGTTCGATTGTAACCTGCGCTTGTCCACTTGAGACGCAACGGACAACTTGTTTGCTGCCGTTTAATGCCATTGAATACTCAGTCACATAAAATTACTTTGATAGTCTATTCCATTCTCTTTTTTTGTACTTCAAAAACAGAATTGTTATTTAAATGAACAATGGTCACATGGGAAGCAACCACTGCACACTTGAAACCCAAATACAAAGTACACAAAACAGAAAGGGAGGGGATTTTGAATTTTAAAGAACTAAACACTATAATTTGAGTAACTTTACCATATAATCATTATAAAATAGTTACTACAATATGGTAACACAAGGAATTATGATTATAGTTAAAAGAATGCTCAACTGCAAAACAATTACTTTTGGAAGTTCAAGTTTTTTTCTTCCATGGGACTTTTATAGAATAAGAGTCAGTGAAAACCACACTATACTTATTACACATTGTAACTGCATTATTATCACCAGAGATCAGAACTCTGTGTCCTTTCTCTTCTGCTGATTTACTCGTATAAAAGCTTTGAATTTCTGACTGAAATAAGTAGCGGTATCTTTTGCATTCCTTTTAATACAATGTGCTTGATCTGCAATACCCTTTTTCCTTTGATGTAAACCAACTATATATAGAAAGCTGAATAATTACCCAATCTGTCCGAGGTCTATTAAAACTAAATCCTTCTCGAGGAGGACCATCACAGCATACGGCTCCTGAAAGTCTGGCAAAAGAACAAAAAAAAATGCACAAAATCAGCAACAACGTCATTTCAGGGAACCGGTTGAGAGCGCGCTACGTCACCTCACCGTTCGGATAAGGAGTTTCACACAGCGTCAGGAAGTCCACGATGGGGTAGTCCATCTCCAGCACGGCAGTGCTCTTTCCATGCATCACAGTCAGACAGGCTCTCCTCCCCACCGTGTCGTAGGACAGACCTCCAGACAGGACCATGAACGGGTCCCTGAGTTCAGGGGAAACACACACACACGCACATTTTACCGTTGTGCTTTTACAGTAGGGATGAGTTCTGAAGTCCGGTCATGTTCATTAACTCAGACACACTGTTCCCGGGTCTTTTATGTGCACTTTTAATGTTTTGGAGGAATTTATTATCCCCCTGCAGCATCTGCAACTACCTACGTCCCTGTAGGTGCAATAAAACATTTGCAAGTAAAAAGTCGATTTTGTTTATTGATGCACCTTCAACAAGCATCAACATGTAAACACGCAGGAAGGGGGATATTTCGTCCATGATACAGCATAATAAACGTTTTAAACCAGCATAGTAGGTCAGCTAATGGTGAATTGCTACCAACGAGCTAAACCCAAAGCCGTCTATGGGAGGTCTGCTTAGCTTAGCTTGCCGCGCTGTGACGACCCCCCTCCCTTCCACTGCGGGTCTGTTCGCCGCCATCTTCGGCTCCCGGCTGCTGCTTTGTTCCGTTTGGTTGTTTAGTTTAGTTTCTTGGCTTCTTTGAATAAATGTATATTCATTACTTTCGACTCATCTCGTCTCTTTCATGTTGCAGCCTTTGAGCTGGGTCGTGACACAGCCATCCTAAAATTTGAAAAATCTGCCGGCTGAGACAAAGCAGGTCGTTCTCCCTCTACCAGCGTCACCTACAGCAGTGAATCAATCAATCAGCAGAGGAATAAAAGATAACGACTCATGTCTGTGTTCCTCATTATTGATCAACTTCAGGAATATTATTGGGTTTATTCACATCTTAGATAAGTTTTCAATGAAAAATTTTATAGTTTATATAGTGCCTTTTTTTAGTGATATATTTAAAATATCAATAAATTCTAAATTACCTTCTGAATTTTCTTTTTTTTTTTAAAGAATATTTTAAGTAGCAATTGTGTGAATGAAAAATAACCAATAAGAGAATCGATAAAATCCAAACGATACCTATCCATATTTCTCTTGAGATGCTTTGCCCCCATTTCAATAGTCTTCATGATGGGAGGAGCCTACTTTTTAATTAAAATGACAACTATATTAATCCTTGTCCTGACAAAAAAAGAGGGGGATAATTAGACCAGCTTCAGTGAAATAATCTCCTTTTTTATGACATGTTTTACAGGAACATTTTGTCTTTGTACTTGGTGACCTTGACGCAACAAGCTTCTCCTCAGTTAATGACAAAATAAAAATAAAATGAACATTTGACCTGATTGGAACAAGTAATAATTTGTCATGATTTATCTAATGATCAATACACTACAAAGCCAGTGAGAACATCAAAGTCATTAAGACAGGGCCCTCCCAGCTCTCCACCCAGTTTCCACCAGCAGCAGGATTGCGTCAACACGACTAGCCTGTTATGATGGAATAACAGGAAAGGCCACTTTCAGCGCAGGATATGGATTCAAACTGGAGCCGGTTAAGACACAGGATGGGTGGGGATTCGCTACCATCACACTTACCCAGCCCTTGTTGTTTTGTACTCCACCTTCAGGATCGGCTTGCACGGCTCTGGCTTTTTTCCATCCTTAGGCTGCTTTCCTAGTGGGGGTCCAGGTGTAATTTGCAGAATTACAATGGATATAATGCACACGATGCTCCCGCGCACACGCACACGCACACGCGCACACACACACACACACACACACACCCTTCCTCATCCACCTGCCTATTATGCCAGTCACATGCTACAATACCTTTTAAAAGACATAGGTGGCTTCTATTAAATATGTCAGAACATGAAAGAAATTCTAGTGTGTGTGTGTGTGTACACAACAGTTTGTACCATGTGGTGTGATGATCTGTGCAGACTTGGCTGGGACTCGTATGTTCCACGTGGTCAGCGTGCCATCAGAGTGGCTGCAGACAAACTGTTTGCCCTCATGGTGCCAGGCTACCGAGTGGATCGCCTGAAACACACAGCAGCACATCGTCAGACCGGGACAAGGAGAGCACCTTTTACAGCATGGCAGTGTGTGGGAGATTGATTATAAAAAATAAAACATAAACACTGCATGTTATTCAATGAAGGAATTCCCTAAAGTGTTTCGTACGATGGGCTCTATTGCACAGAGGAATGAGATATGTCAGGCTTTGCGTGTTAGTAGGATCCATTCATTGATCATCTACGTCTTTTCACGGGTTTTGATTCATGGGATGAAGGTTAGAGGAAACTTTAAATGTCACTAGATTTATCCTTTTAAAAAAGGTTGAGTTAAATCCTCATAATGTATGCGCATGAAAAGAGTAATCCCTCTCATTTATCCATTACGACCCACTGGAGGTGTGTGGCTGTCTCTATGAGCAGAGCCCCCGGGCTGCATTCTTTTTTACTTTATTAGTATTTCGCAGTATTTGAGACATTTCTAAGCAACAGCCTTTGGGACGCACACATCCAAGAGGGAGCAACGGAAATGGTGACATAGGGCTGAAAAGAAAACTCATGTATATGTAGTGAGGCAAAATAAGCTCTCCGTGAATCTGAGGTTGGCCTTTCGCTCGCTGTCGTCTCCGACGCCTCGGGGACACACTGCTGTATTCCGGCAATCAGCGGGCGCGCAATCCTGGTGTCGTTAAGCCGGAGGGGGGAGGGGCCAACTCTGGACATGGTTTTTACAAACACTAAGCTACAATTATAACAGACGCCCTCGGGCTGACGGTGTTATTCAAAGCATCAGGAAGCACTTTCGACGCTTTGAGATGACGCTTCTCGAAACACCCCAGTGGGACTTTTTATAACATCTCAAAAGGGCCCAATGAGCGGCTACTTCAGGTTTCATGAGAAAACTTCAGAGCCACCGCTCAGTCACATACGATGGAAGTGACGGATAATGCAAAATGATGTGACTTCAGTGAAAAAAAGAAACAGGAAGAGAGAAAGAATTGTCTCACCTCGTCATAATTGTAGCGGCAGTCCGCTTTTTTGGACTTCAAATCCCACAACACCACAATCCCACACTCGAATCCAATCAGAAGCTGGAAGAAGAGGGATAAAGAAGTGAATCACAGCTCGGCTGATTACTGTGAAACCACATTCTGCGCATACAACTCATACAGGACACATGGCTGTGACGTTCAGAGGATACTTTAACAATACTTTATTTCACTGGCAATTTCCCGATCACTTCCTAAGAGCCTTTCTTGAAAGAACAATGTCATTTGGTAATAATGACAAAAAATCATAACACACAGTAAGTATACAGTAAATTGGTGCTTGTTTATTCTTATGTGTTAGGGTAGAAATGCATCAGTGCTCCAGTGAGCAGTGATGTAGTCATCAACTATCATTACCTTTCCTTCATCCATGGGGTTATCACTGATGTGCACAACAGGCCCTGGGTGTGTCTTGGTGGATCTGTGCAAGTTTTAGGGACAGAAGAGAATCAACGACAAAGAGAGGAAGAAAGTCAAGAATAACAATCCATCGACAACTAAATTGTAATTGTGAAAGCATAACAGAACTGTTGTGTCAGCCTCAAATGGTTCTTTGGACTAGAACTTTGAACATATTTACACAGAATAAAGTAATTTTTATATATATATATATCTCTCTCATTTGGATATTTGACTAGTAAAATGTATCTGATAGAAGTTGTCTGAAACTGTTAAGAGTAGACTGTAGAACTGTTAAGAGAACAGACATGGACACAAATAGAAAAGAAATGCAAAGGGAAAAAGAATGAAAGCCAGAATCCTGGTTTGTCATCGTATATTGTTTGTGTACAATGTGCAGCGTGGCGCTAGGGAGGGAGACATGACATACGGGAGAGAGAACAGGGTCACATGAGGGTCTATGAGAGATTATTGTGTGTGGAGACAGCGTCGCCGTGGCAACAGACCACTGGGCAACGAGGGAGTGAAGGTCTGGCCTAAAGAAAGTGTTGCTGCCTGTGAACGTGGCCTGACTCCAGCGGCTAATGATCTCATTGCTGCTGATGAGTCGATACAGTCAGAGATGTGGCAGTGAATAAAGGGATGGACTGGAATACAAAGTCCAGTCTGTAATCACCGTGTGCTACACCAGCAATGTTGAAGACCGGCGTAAGATATGATCAGCATGACAAACTCATGGACGCACACGCACATTAAATTTTAGCTGCCTGTCACTGTCTCAAATTAATTTTCCTTGCTCACTGGTGGGTGAACTAGAAATATTTCCTGGAAAGAGCAACAATGTTTTTCTTTTCACTTTCAGTGCTATTTTATGCACAGAACGAGGCGCAAATATAAGTTTAGCGTCACTCAAAGGTGTTACAGATGTTGAAATGAAATACTCCCTCCATGTGGGTCCTGCCGAGTAAAATCTGGACGACACAGGAAATGAAGCACAACATTTAGGGATGTTCACAGTTCCCTGTGATCCTTAAAAAGTGGGCATATACAGGTCGGAGGGGGTATCACAGTGCAGGTCTCTGCAGCTACCAAGTGGGCACTACATAGAACAGATGTGTTCCAATCACCACCTCCATTCTGCTCTCACACTGATCGGTGCTGCAGTTTTCTCGGCATTATACCTGCATGCACATTCCTTTGCATTTCAGACTTTCCTGGGCGAGTGTCAACTCACATTAGTGCACCGAGACAATGCGAAAAGGGTCAGGAAGAGAGAGAGAGGAAAAACAAGACAGTAGTGCAATAGAGACTCACAGCTCGATTGCTTTGTTCCACATGATGACGTAGCCCGAGAGAGTGAAGGACTCCACGTTGACAATGTGGATGTTTCCTCTTTCTGTGCCGATGTAGAGCCATTTGCTCTGGAAGGGCAGGTGGCAGTATGTGATTCTGCAAGGAGATTAGGATCCATCACAAGCAGGCTTTGATTATCTCCCAACTCCCTCCCTCCAAAAGAGACGCTGTTGTCCCCAATAATGCTGCTGCAACTGGAAGGAGTCGCGAGTGACTAAGATTTAATTACAAAAGGCCCTGCTCGGTGTCACACTAATGAAGCCGGACTATTTATAGCTCTGTGGGGAGAAACAGCAGAGTGAACACTGCTGTTGCATCTCAGCCGCTGGGAAGAGAAACATTCAGTCACACACCGCGCTTAGTGCCAAATTAACCCGGCTGACGGTTACTTGTTGGTGTGACAGACGTCATCTTTTTCCTACTAAACGTTCTTGTGTTGAAAAATGAATAATGTAGCTTAATTTGACAAGTTAATTATTATTTACTATTATTATTAATTTATTTTCGACCACGGAGTTGTCCGTGCACGTGTCCAGCTGTGCAGAGCGGTTTATAAATCGTGTTCGTGCTTCACGGAGGCACAGAGGAGCTACAGTACCTCTCCCGGTTGAACTTGAGAGAATGCAGGATTGCAGGGATTTTTTGCCTCAGGTTCCACATGTGGATGCTGTCGTCGGCTAAGGCACTCACCAGCGCCCCCTGTGGGTCGGGTCACAAAGCACAAAACACATCTGGTTCGGCGGTTTTAAGAGAAGTTTTAAGTTAAGCGAACATTCCTGTGGCTGTGTGCTCTGCCACCCAGATGGGATCAGAATCGACAGACATGTGACCGTAGACAGACTGAAAAAAACAAAAAAGGAGCAGGTAGTGACAACAGACCTCGTTGATCAGGAACTGCAGCTGGATGACAGCCGCACCGCTCTCATGCTGACAGAAGCACTCCACACCCGCACGGCCGAAGCTAAAGGTCAGCACAGTCAAGGAGAACTGGGCAGTTGATGCAGAAATGTGAGAAAATCCTGTCCAACTGAACACTGTGTGTGAATAAGTAGAGATTGCTTACTGAACTCAATCCCAGCCGGCTGTCGGTGTTCAGTGGCAAGACTGGAACTAAACTTAAAAAAGGTTCCCAGGGTCGTTGTTGTAACTAAAGTTAACACATTCATTCGCCACAAAACATGTGAAGAGTGAGTTATAAATAAAGTCAGTGGGCGAGTCGGCCTTATTTATTCACATGCTCAGGCAGCATGACGACAGCCCGATAAACGGAAACTCCAGCTTCTGTCGGACCGTTGAGTTTGTGTGTGTGTGTTAAAAGAGAAACCCAGAGGATGCCAAGGGTAACCACAGAGGAGGAGCACCGGGTCATAACGTATGCTCCAGAAACATGAGATTACTTTCACCACCCGGCACAGCAACGCAGGAGCACAATGAGGGACCGCGAATCCGCTTCCACCGGCCTGTAATCGCTTTCGCAGGCGCGCGGTATCTGCGCCAATCACGCACAGACACACAAAAGGAGAAGGAAGCAGCGCGAGATCTAATCAATCGAGAGAATCTCCCCACACACGGAATGTCCCCAACGAGACAAAAGGTTGCACTGTGCGTCTCACACTCTTAATGCGATCATGCCATGGAGAAGCTCCCAAGACGGAACGTCGGAGTCCATTTTCGAGCTCCACAGCATGATGTGTGTGAACAGGATTAACAAAGCTGCGATCAAACAGTCCCTCAGTGCCTTGAACAAACTAAGGAGGGGTCGCAGGAGGCCGTCCAGGACAGAAACCACAGCGGGCATCACTTCTGCAGAAGGACCGAGAGGCAAACAGACTTCCAGACGGCGCCAGGAGACGGCTGAACTCCCATTTAGCCGTGACTTTTGTGTCCAGTTTTAGCTCCTGGCTCCGCAGGTTCTGTATAACATTTGTCAGAATTATTAATGGACATCATGGCTCCACAGGTCCCCTAACAGAGGAGGGAGAGTCACAGAGTCCGTCTCATGCATAACAAAGAGCAGATATGTTAATGTGCAACACTGCAGTGTGGTCTTACAGGCGGAATCACCTCCGCAGCCTCACAACGGTCAACGCACGGCGCGGTTCACTTCTCTGCGTCTGTAGACGTGCAGGTGACTGAAGTCTGACCCGATTCTGACGGAGGAAGTAGGCTAATGGTGCTGCTTTCTAGGCTAGCAGGAAGTTACTATACGACTCGATGCCGGTGGTGGACGAGTGAAGCCTTCTGTGGTACTTCCTTTTACACTTCAAGAGCAAAGCCTTTTACTGTGATCGTGTGGGCCACAAATACAAACTATAATGGTCTGAGACTTCATGACTTTATTTCAGTAGAACATTAATTCTAGGATCGTGTGAGTCACACTGCACATGTTAACAAAAAGACAAATCCCTCACAGCAAGTGCCTGTCGTTTGATAACATTTAACTTATTTGCCAATTTTATTAATGATTCCTTCAGAGCTGCAATTGATTCCATCTTGCAGACGTTGGATTGAACATTCCTTCTTTTTGCCATGTTTTAGATCAAACTGCAATACATTCATCGCGTCGCATGCATAGTTCATTATCCATTTATATTTACTGCGTATTACGTTCTACATATTAGAAATCCAACTTTCAGAAATTTTCCGAAACAGGTATTCAACATGTTCTCTTGGCCATGTTCTTGTTTAAGACGTCACACACACTAAAGCCCCCCCCCCCCTCACACGCGCCCTTAAACATAAACACCCCTCGGTAAACCTTCATGGTCAACCACAGCGTTTCAGCAACAGCAGGTTCTCCTCTTCAGTCTACTGATAACTTCCTTTCTCAGAGATTATCTTACTCATGCGAGCTGAAGAGGAACGAAGAGGAAGCCACAGAGCGCTGACTCGCTTCAGTGTTTCTGCGCTTTAAAACTTGTGCGAGCCACTTTGCACAAACTTAGCTTTACCTTTTTAATTTCTGAAAAGTTCAAAAGGTGTCGTGCTACCGCTGGACTCCCTTCACATCTCGGTTGAATACAAACTAACAACCATCACGGACCAGCTCTTTGTTTTATAGAAATATAGGAGCACATAAAATTAGCAGCAGCAGGGCGTCCGCTACAGTGACACACTGATTAAAACACTGTAGTGGAGACAGATCTCGTAAAAGCAGACATTTATTGCTTGTAGACATCTCATTGAGCTTACGTCCACTGAGCTGTGGCGGCGTTTCCAAACTGCGGGGGCAATGAGGCGGATCAATACTGTCCCGTCTTTTGATAAATGGACCTATTGCTTGAATGACAGTAATCCCATCGGCTCCGCCTCGCACATTAGGACAACGTGAAAGCGGTGTGTGTGTGTGTGTGTGTGTGTGTGTGTTTTCCGGGAGGAACCCTGCAAACACGACGCTCTCCTAATCTGCAGCGGGGGGAGAGAGAGAGACGAGAATGGAGCCACTTCTAACGACGAGCCTACATAAAGCAGATGGGCCTCCCGCGCAAAGACACCAGCCAGCTGGGACCCCCGCTGTTTTTTTCGCTGGTAGGCCGACCCTGAAGACATGTGGTTAACAACAACACGCGTGGACGTGACCGCGCTGTCAGGCGCAGTTGGTCGGTGTGACTCACGGAAGTTGCTCGGTTAGCTATGAAAACATTTTTTAACCTTGAATAGAAACAAACACAACCCGGACCCCGGACCCCCGACCGCCCGAGGGGTCGTACGGCACTTAAGCAGCTTGACGTGTGTGTGTGTGTGTGTGTGTGTGTGTGGTGCTGTTTACGGCACATACGAGGTGGCATCCTGGCACAGACTGGGCAGCACAGCTGATGAGGTTGGCTCCTCGGCATATGGCAGGGGAGCTGTTCATGCGGAGATGCCACTAATGAGAAGGAGGCTGCCGGCTGCACAGAAACACATCCTCGCTAACGTCTACCTCCGAGGCCCTCGCCTCCGCTTTGCAGCCGGGTTTCCGTTGTGGTGGATGAGAGCAGGACCAAACAGATCACTTACAGTTTAAACTCCCCAGGCTTTGTGGAATGTTGGAAAGCAATTTGGTCGTATGACAGGAATTTGAGGATTACGTTTGTGCGCGTGTGTGTGTGTGTGTGTGTGTGTGTGTGTGTGTGTGTGTGTGTGTGTGTGTGTGTGTGTGTGTGTGAATGTTCAAACCATCCCAGCTTTACTCCACTTTCATCTGATGGCCGTTGTCATTCCCCCCCATCTCAAAAAAATAAGAAAGGATACAGCCTCAAAGCTCCGGTCTGAGTCCCGACGGCCAAGATCTTCTGGACGGGGTCAAAAGCCATCGAGGATGGCTGGTATGGGAAGCCATGACGCACAGTCTGCGGGAAAGAGCACAATTTATATTCAACCTCCAGTCAGCGAATCAATCATCTGCTACACAGTCTTTACCGGAGAGAATAAAAACATTATCATAATCTCCTGGAAATGCAATCCATCAATGTGGAAAATTAGTCTCCTGATCAAAATAAATTACATAAAGCATAAACATTAGTGCAAATGGGGACTGGGTTATTTTTCCGATACGTGCTTGACGTGCGTGCACGCTCAATCCAGTAAAACATCAGCAGCGAACGCACTCAAGCCGTCGCATTTTCAGCACACGGAGCACACTTCATTGCACGGATCTCGCGGTCCCCCTCATCATCATCATCATCATCCTCATCCTCATCAGGCATCTATAGCTCAGTTGTTTCAGCTTGGAAACCTTCCGCCCGTCCTTCCACCCATAAGCTCTGTGCTGCTCGCAGCCGTGTTATGTAACAGGTTGTGCCCCGGGGACCTGACCCGCTTTGCTCCCAGCTGGGGTGGGAGTTGGTGGGCCGGCGCAGGTGAAACCCATCCAACCAGACGCCATCAGCAGGGGGACACGGTGTGCAGTGACCAGCGAGGGTGCCATTTAAAAGCTTGGGGGGGGGGATCCTCATTTGAAAACAAATTATTTTCCACTGATGAAGAGTTGGAGGCTGTAATCGTTCCTCCCGTTCACGCCGGCGGGACAAGTTGGCGGCCCTGTGCAGCGTTTAACTGAGACCAACGGAAAGGTCAAAGAGGTGTCTGGCGTGGTTACTGTCCTTCGTCCCTCGGCAATCAAACATTGACTGAGACAACGCAGAGAGGGAAGGTCAGGCTAAAAAGATATCAAATCATCTTCTGTGTTTTTTTCATTTTTTTTTATTAAACAGGACTGTGTGGATTATGTCCTCCAGCTCTTAATCATCCCATGATGGAATGTCTTCTCAGCCGGTGGGGGACGACAGTTAGTCATCAGGGCACAAGAGTGTTGTTATCAAAATAGACCTGAAAGAAACGCCAAGCTTCTTAGACAAACTGCAGAGAGCTAAATCACGTTTGCCAACTTAAAAACAGTGACTCGAGGCGACGATTCAGTGCAACGCAAACAGCCGCTGCACCGTGAGAGAGACATCCCGGGACAGCGAGGCAGGCCATCTTTAACGCGCACGGCACATTTTTTACCTGAACTTTAATCTCTAAAAGTGATTCTTTTATTCAAGTGCTATACGCACACTGGTGTGATTTCCGTCCCGATGAACAGAGCCGAGGATGAGACGATCACGTCAATGTCAGTATGCAAAAAAAAATAATATTAAAAACAGCCCGTGAATGTTGAAATGCTTTTGACGGAAACCCACCTTGCAAAGCTGGAAATGCTCCGACTGGAGAGTCTCCTGGACGGCATCGTTCTCCCGGGGAGCACCCGGCTGGGCTGCCCCGGAGGCGGCGGCGGCGGAGGAGGAGGAGGAAGCCGCTGTCAAGCCGTCCAGCACCTTTCTAATGTTAAACTTCTTCATTTTCACTCCGGTTCAGACGGTGGACAAATACAGGTCACGCGAGCTACCATAAATTGGATAGAGACGCGCGCGCGTGCGTGTACGCGTGTTTGTGTGAATGACAGTATGTGTGTGTGTGCGTGTGTACGGGGGGGGGTTGCTGCTAGCTAGCTAGCTAGCCGAAATAACGCACAGTTAATATCTTTCTGTACACATCTCACATGTCACGCGGGGTGTTGCTGGCAGCGCGCTCTCCGAGAGCACCCGAGTCGCGAGCATCGGTTCAGCGAGTCCTTCCCGATGTCAGTGTCGATCCGCCATTTATGTCGCCAGCTTTTTCGGTCGTTATTCGACCGGGATCAATCGTTTCCGTGAGCTGTTTCCCCGGTCAGGGCTCAGCGGGTAGCACAGCGGCTACGGAAACGCAGTGAACTGCAGCGGGGATTTGAGTCTGCGCTCTGCCGTCACCCGGATGCTGCAGCCGGTGTTACGGTGTTTTCTGTGACCTGTCGGATTCTGTGACCTCGACGGGAAACGTTTTTCCGGTGTTTTGAAACACAATTCGGGACCTAGTCGACTGCGTGATTCGATAGAAATTGTTCCCTGACGTAACGTGCCAGTGGAGAGCAATTGTTTTATATCAGTGAGCTCATCTCATCGTGTCAGCAGGGAAATTAAATGTTTTTTAATCCAAATTGGCTGTGAAATGTGCTAAAAAGTTATGTTTTTTCTATCGCATGAAGGGTGACATTTGTTTTACACCGTTTTACAGTTGCATTTGTGTAGTTTAATGGATAGTAAACTAATCAACATATATATTTATGAATGTGCATAGTGCCGTGTGTATTAATAGAGTCATGTCGTATTATAGCCTACTTTTATTCTGTCATTAAACCTCAATTCACCCAAATATTTGACTACAAGCTCAAGAAAATATTTCCATAAAGACTAATACATTTGACAAAGAGTGTGTTTTGTGTCCCCCTACTGGCTGACGGGTCCCAAACAACATTAATGCCTTTGGGTTTAGAAAGACGGATGAGCTGAACCTAAAGCCTTAAAGTCTAAACAGTATAAATGTAGGGCTCGGGATAAAAATAAGCTGTAAATGTTGTTTGAGGCAGTACATTCTGCATTTCCTTTTTCTTGTGCATAATCCTCTTCAGTAAAGATCTTTCCCACAGACATTTGATATCCCCTTTAAACAGTTAAGGTCCCAATTCACAATCCAATCTATTGTGATTGCCTGGGAAATATGGTACTTCCTCTTGTTCCTTCAAGAGGAAGAAACAGGTTATTTTACTACCACAGAGGATTAGAAAACTAGAAAATCTGGTTTGACGAACACCAGAAAACCTTGTTAAATCATGACCTTTATGACCTGTTGTTTAATAAGGCCCATATTTTTTATTTTCTGATGTACTTCCTAATTAAAAGAAAATGCAGGCACAGGGCGTACTCTTTGAATAAAACATCAGAAAAGAGTGGAACCGATGCTTTGTGGGTATTCCCAAATGTGTTTTATAATGCCATTTAGATTATTGCAACGCATAGATTAAAAAAAAAAAAATCTTAAATGTATTTCTGCAAGACGTTTTGGAGGATTTCTAAAACTTTCTTAATAAACTACTCAAGTTATTTGTACCTGCCTGCAAGCTGGTAACACGACTAACACGAATTGTGGACCTATGAGGTATAAGGACGTGTTTAAAGTCAGAAACGGACGGATCTAGGCATGTAGTTACTATCTCCCAGTACACCAAGTGTCACATCCCTATTATTGTTTCAGGGGATTGGAAACATTTGACATTGTGAAATTTATAATATACACTTTAGTGGTGAATTTAGTACATTTTGTGTAGATATTAGGCAATTCTCAGAACCAGAAAGATACTGACAAGTAGAGGGGGTCTGTGTACTCTTCTTCCACCATTCTATATGCCTTATATTAAGCCATATTTTATTATTATACAATTGCACCATTATGTTTTAATTGTCTTTGTGCATGCAATTTTTGTACACTAGATGGCGAAGTCTACCAACAATCTACCATGCTATCTGCCAGTATTTCTTTGCTGTGGTGGAGGGATCTTCTTATCCTGAACATTCAGCACCACGGACAGCAACATATGGATTTGTGCCCCTGAATTGGTGGTACAGGATTTGATCTGGTTTCAATAGGCAGTTTCATTTGGATTCTGTCATTTTTGCACAGATTAAGAACATGTTCATTTTCAGGTGGCGGGACATCAAAGAGCCCTTTTAACAGAGAGAATATCGGTGCAATTAAATAACTGTATGCGTTCCACAGACTGTGAATCTTGATTAATAGGCCATCATAAAATGGGTCAGTGAAGACACAATAAGGGCACAGTGGCACAGGGGGGAAACATACACTTCATCGACCTATTCACACGTTTAACTAAATTGAAATTTTCATGCAATCATGAATATATGAAGGAAGCTGCCAGCAAAAATGCTCACTCCTAAATAAAATTGGGAAGTAATGGGATCTGATGCAGAAACTGCGACTCCCATTAAGAGGCATAATCATAAGTCATTATCATAAACAGGTGAAGAGGTTGAGGTTTTGTGTCCGATGTGAAGAAGTATTGGGGCCATCATCCCTGTTTGACTCTTGAATTTAGGTCTCCGGTATCTGGGACATAAATCCATAATTAGCTGTGTTTAACTTCTTTCCTCATTTTCCCTGGAGCACAGTTTTCACAGTAGGTAAACTTCCTTCCTGGAGTTCATGCTGTAACCCACTTCATCACAAATAAACACTGCTGTAAGAAAGCATTACGGGTTTTTGAAATGTAGATAATTGCAAGGTTGAATAAATGCATGCACATGACGTACCTGGACAGTCTGGATTTGGACAAAAGCGTTTGTGTTTGGGTACCCAGCAGCAGGATGTGGAACACATCCCTAGATGCACGGCAAGGACACTGAAAAATAAAGCTACAGGACAGTAAAGAACAGATCGGTGTGCAAAAATAACCCCCGGTTTCACTCTCCCCAAATATCTGCAAGACAATGCCCCAAATCATATCACTGACTTACAAGATATCAAGTAAAAGTAATTACATTAAAAGCATTCAATCGTTTCAGAATGGAGAGTTTAGCGGACACGACTCACAAAGAGGAAATCAATTCCCTTTTAATCAATCCGTTCATTGAGGTACAACAAGTCTGCTGACTAAGAAACCGAATTAAAGACGAATCAACTGACGGGAAACAAATTGACAAAGAACTCCATTCTTCAGGCTTAGGTCACTGTACTGTGCAAAATATCACGCTCTCTACCCAAATGCATGTGAACAGAGACATTGTACCACTGAAAAACCACTGATGTGTTACTGTGTTCGTCATGTGTCCGTGTGTGAGAGAGAGCGGGCGGCGTCAGGATGACGTGATGTGGATGGTGATGCGGTGACTGCAAAATGTTCTGATATTTTCACTTGAGGAAACCCGACCGGTATCCAAGTCAGATCCAAGTATCCAAGTAGTTTTACGGATTACCTTTAGTTCAATGTCATTCATCTCCAGGCAAACATCACTCGACCAGTTGCCTTGGTGTGGTTGCACAACCAGCTGCCTGCTGGTTAAGTTCACTGTTGCCCTCATCAAGCCGTCACGTGTTTACTAACTTCACTGAGACAAGCAATAAATGAAACGCCTGTCAAGTAAAGCCTCACGGATTAAGGAATAGTGGACAAGAAATGGAGACTGAAAGAGGAACAGGAGGCAATCGTACTTACTTACTGTGAAATAAAAACTGAATATAAACCGCATTGCATTATAAGGCCCACATTTAGGTTACTTTTCTGTACTGTTTAAGACACATTTATATTATTCAAATCACAAATGTTTAAAACACAAAGGTGACACATTAAAGACACATTAAATAAGATGTACATCACTTTTAGAGAGAACAGTAGGGGATCTACTATTCATCCCTCAAATTTTACATTGAAATCAATCTTCATTGTAGTGGGGACCATTCATTGTAACATCCCACCTGATTCTTATTACTACTTGACAGATCATTTATGTTACTGCCCAATAATATGGTTTAAAACTATTCTTCAACTTGTTTGCCCCCCAAACTCGTAAATCAAGATGTTTTAAATGTAAAATTTAAAATAGTATAGTGACTCAATTAACACATGAACAAATCTATAACTTACAAACACATCATCTGAAAACGTGATAACGTCATGGTTAGCTTCCTATTATAGAAGAAAAGTATCAAGTTGTTGTGGATCTACGATATAAGCGCTCTGCTCTCTGGGCGGAATGCAGCTCACTTCCTGCATCCACCTAAATCGGGTCATGCTGACAGCTTTCCTCTGTCGAGGGCTGCGATGCTTTTGCTCGGGTCTCAGCTCATCTCACTGTGAAGCGATTAAGAGGCAGGTAACACGCGGAGCTGAGATTGACAAGTGGACGTTTAACGAGGGAACGTGAAACAGCTTTGAACACACTCTCTCTCTCTCTCTCTCTCTCTCTCTCTCTCTCGTTTGTCGTATTGTAAAATGACAGTTGTGACTGTTTCCCAGTTAAAATAAGTCAATCGTCAGTCTCGGTTGCTCGATGAGTGTCGCAGACATTGATCTCTTTATTATCCAGACTTCATCGGTGGATTATCAGAGAAATGAGCCCAGTAGGCCCGGTGTGTCGGAGGGAGCCCACCCACTGCACAAATCACTGTGTCCTGAAGTAGCTTCCACGCGGCGCCTCTGGATTCACGACGTGGTATTTAAAAGCAGGTCCTGGCGGGGCGTTTGATCCAGTTGCTGCCGTTGTCGGCTCACCGCCGGGGCGTCCAGTCGCAGCACGACGGCGGGCCCTGACTCTCCCCGGCGGCCCGGCTCACTTTGACCCCGTCCCAGCGGGGCTCTTCATTGAACGGGCCGGCGTTGCACAGCATCATTTGTTTGACAAGGAAGGCCGCTGCCTCGTCAATATTTATGTTGTCCTGTGAACGGTGTGAAGGGGGAATGCGATTTAGAACGTTGTGCATGCGTCCGTTGAGTGGAAGTGTTTGGCTCGATGTTCGAACTTTGGCTGCGTTAATATTTGAACACGTTTTATGAGCACGCTGTGTAGCAGCGGGGTTAAAGGTCAGTGTAGTGTCACCTCGTGCACAACCGGCTTTACTCAGAATAAAGCTTCAGCAATAAAATATACCTTTGGTCTAACTAATCAGTCAGCATGCAGGTATTATTATTAAACCAAGAAATCTCACACATATTTACAGATTTTGCTGTGTAAGGAACTCATAAGTTAAAACAGTAATATGTACCTATTGCTTATAACCAGATACTTCATAGTAACAAACAGCTAAATCTGCTTCTGTCCACAAAAAGCTACGCTGCAACCAATCAGGGGATTTTCAAATGTCTTCAGGCTGAATTAACCATTCAAAATGTATTGATTAGTGTTCTTAACCCGTGTGATTGTAGGATCATGAGGCGGTTCCCCATCTTGTAATGTTGACTATGTTTAACAGCAGTTCTGAGAAATGGCTTATATCCCTTACTGACAATTTCTGCGGATTATCTTCTCCCATAATAACAGAAATACAACACACACCTTTGCAGAGCTCTCAAACCAGCCCGTGAAGCAGTTGTCCTTGCAGAAGCCGTCCACAGAGGACACCAAGTCTCTTTCCCCTCCTGTCATGTCACATTTGTTGGCCAGCAGGACGGCGGGGACCGGCCGCCCGCTGTCGTGACAGACTTTGCTGTCCAGGTCCCGCTTCCACACCGAGGCAGCCTCCAGGGTGCAGCTCTTTGTAACGTCAAAGACCACTACTGCCCCCTTGGCCCCTTTGTAGTACGCTCGGGACATCTTCCTAAACCTCTCCTGGCCTTGAGGGATGAAATAAATATAAATAATTTGTGTTTCAGCGCAGCTTGTGCTCCAATGGGAATGCAAAAGCAAAGATGGATTCATTTTACACATATTATCTGGCAAAAGGCTTACAAGTCTTTGAAATATAGTTGCCCCGGTAGACAGTGTTTGTTCATCATGTGTGATATTAATTATAAAAACTGTCTCAAGTAAGTAATCAAGGATAATGATTTTTGATTTAAGAGAACATTGAGTGAAATAGCAAAACGATTTTTAAATTGAAACCATATTTGATTTTTGTGAAGGTTATTTAAACAATAAGACTGACCGGCAGATGTTGTTTACTTGTGAATGCCTTTATTGGGTATTACAACAACAGATGGAGGAGAAAATAAATAGAAAATGAGTTTTTAACATCCGTTCCAGCATTAGCTGTCTTAACCAAAGAACAGATGCTTTTGTTTTAGAGCTTTGTAACGTACCTTTAAATATAGACACACTTACCTCCAATATCCCAAAACTGCAGTCTCACCACAGTCTTGGAATCCCATTCAATAGTCTTCAAAGCAAAGTCAACTCCAATAGATGCTTTGTATGTTTCATTAAAGCGTTTATTAACATAACGCAGGATAATGCTGCTCTTCCCGACGCCCACATCCCCGATGACCAGAACTTTAAACAGCCTGTCTGTACTGCATGGTACCGGACTTCCTGCCATGTGGACCTGCATTGAGAAAAATAAAATAATCTGTTTCCTAAACCATCGGAAAAAACCTGGTCTGCGTCACGTTCAAGTTGACAGACGTCAGTTCTCTCGCAGACTGCAGAGGTTTTAAATGATCTGCGTTCAGTGCAGATGTCTCAACCCCACCTGTTCCTTTTTGAGATTACTTATTGAAATTCTGCAAAAAAAAGCTATAAATCTTTGACCTTTGATTCATAACTGTTGCAGAGCAAAGCCAAGACTACAGAGCCCCAAGAGTAAGTAGTTTCACCATGAAAAACAGGAGACAAAAGCATAAAAAATGTTTACTCCATTAAAACAAGTATTTTGATACCTGTTTAAAAGGGCGGACTTCATTTATACTGTGTACACATCAGGCTGCAGAAAGCTTATTTCTGAATATTACTAAGGGTTACAGTAGCACTTTACCACATTATACAGACTTAATAAGATCTTAATATTTATTATTTATTCATTGTGTGATACAATACCACACAATAGAATCATACGAAGTTAATTAATTATTACACCTGAATATCAAAATATGATCCACAATTCATACATTCACAAAACATATGATAAACATCACTTTATCCTATGCGTAAATCTATACAATTATGAAATCAGGCGACTAATTATAAAAGATACAAATTCGAAACTAGTTGACTTGAGATCGATGTACAAAAGGAGAAAATGTGGCACTTGAACCTCTGCTACATTCGTGAAACAGTCATTGCAGTGGTATATTAGTCCTGCATCAATCACAAATTCACAGATGATTGCTTTTTTTTCCAACAGGGAAACACGTTTACACATCAACTTTTAAACCTGATCATTTTTGTTCAGCACTCCTCGCTCAAAAGAATATTTTGTAAAATAGCTTAAAGAAAAGTCAGCACAGCTCAACTGAAAGACTGCAGACGAGGGAGAAAGCGTCGCTCGCTCTGTTCAAAGGTCACAAAATCTGCCTACAAGCATAAAGCTCATTAATCAATATGTTCGTTGAATCTACACAAAAAGTGTAAATCTCATTAGGAATTGTCGTGTTGGGAGCTCGGCCAGCCGTTTCCTCTCTGCCTGCCTTTTTCCAAACTAAGCTAATGGCTGCTAGCTGTTGCTTTATATTGATCATATTCAGTGGGATTGATCTTTGACAAAGTAAAGTTTATTTTAAGTGTCAAACTATTCCTTTAAACTTTTCCATTTTCATTCCTGATGAAGCACAAAACACTTGCTTGTGTGTTACAGAAAACATATACCAATTTTTTGACAAATAAGATTGTTTTGCATTACATTTAACGTATATTCAACACTAAGACACCCTAAATAAGATCAGCAAATTCATCTGCTTGTTATGTCACCTACATTTCTCAAATACATCTATTTATATTAAAAGTGTGTATACATATGAAGAATCTTGGATGTTTGTCTCTTTATCTCGAAATCTGTTTTATCCTAAAAGCTTGTAACGTTTGCATATAAATATATGTTTGCAATAAGCAAATTCTTCCTCTATTGTTCACAACATCTAAAATAATTAAATAAATAAATGTGGCTCCTTGTTATTCGCGCTCATCGTGTAACAGCTATCTATAGAGGGAAAAATGACTTGTCAGACCACAGAATGACTTTCCTCTCATACTATGTCATCATATATAGCACACATCATTAGAACATGAAAATATAGTACAGCCGGTAATACTAAGAGTGCATCTTCACAGAGTTGAGGAGCTCTGCTTGTAGTCTTTCAGGATGACAGAGGCATATGTCACATTTGTTGGGCTGCACAAAATCGACTCGGAAACGGGCGAACCGGCAAAGGGACTCGCTGGAGGAGCAGCGGCGCAATCTCGGAAAGGGGACGGAGGCATCAGGGCCAGAGAACCCTCCACTGCTGATTTAACCTCAACCAAGCCCTCCTCGTTGTGAATCTGGGCGTTGTTGTACATGTAGCCTTGGAGGAGGCCAAACTGCTCACGGTCCATCTCGTCCTGCTCTGGAGGGGAATTGGGCTCGTCGTCGAACAGGTCCATGTGCAGAGGCAGAACCGGGTCCTGCTGGATGAGGTGGGCCTGGTGGTAGACGGGCATGCCGCCGCTCACGGCCTCCGGCGTGCTCATCATGTCATTGAGCTCGTGGATGTGACTGCTGAATTCACCAACCACCTCCTCCTCCAGCAGGTGCTCCATGATGACGTGTCGGGGGACAATGGGATTTGGTTGCAGATGTTGAGGTCTATAGAGCTCCACCTCCTCACCGGCGTTCACCGGTCCACAGGCAGGAATTTGGCCGTAGTGCATCATGGGGGGTGTGATGGGGGGATTGTATCTGATAAGGTCACTCTCGTCTTCCTCGGCTACATTGTACAAGGTCTTAGTGCTGAGGTCTGAGAAGTCCAGGGTTGTGTTTTGGTACGAATTAGTTAAGGGTTTGATGACAGCCATCTGATTGGAACCTGCTTCCTGTCTCCTCACATGCACTGACAGTCTGTGCCACGTGTGATCCCCTTTTGGAGGATGTCTTGCACCTGGTTCAGACCATGACACAGACTTTCCATTAGAACTATGAACAAAATAAAGATGTCTGTTACTTCACCGGAACCCACAAAAGTGGAGACACAAAAAGATATTTCGGTTCATGTCAGAAAGAATGATCTGGTTGTTAAAAAAATATGAAAAATATGAATCTTGTGTAATATTCCAGGGTATCGGCAGGTTTCTGAACTTTTAAAAGAGGGCAAGAACATTGACCCATAATGGGTACGTTCAACCGTAAATGTAATAATCATTGTAATAATTAATATGTAATAATTAAATAAATGTCCCAGATGACAGAATGGATGGATGTAGGATCCATCCATTCTGTCATCTGGGACATTTAGTTAATTATTACAATTATTTATTTAATCAAGTAATTGGAAAAATTTGTATTTAGAAAAACACAATTCTGTCCTAAATAGTTTTCTTTCATGCTTTGGTTGTCATGACTCTAAAAAGAGGCAACTCAACTCAATTCAATTTCATTTGGTGAACCTGGTAGAATCCCTGTAATATTAGCGATCCAACTTGTCATCCTTTAGCACACAGAGATGCTTGTTTTAAGTTCAAAGGTTCACATGTCTGTGTGAATTGAGCACTGACCTATATCCGTCACACTTTACAACAGGTGTCCCTATGAAAGTAAATACAGTAGACATCAGGTTCCCTTTGAGAGGGAATTACAGTAAAACCAGCATCCCTGAGGTGCCTCAGGAGCAGCACTCCAAGACTCAATTAACAGACCTACCTGCCGTTTCCAGTGTTCTTCTTCCTCCTGAACATGTTGAGCAGGCTGCTGCTTCGGCAGGCAATTTTGCCGTCGCCGACATGCATGCGCACGGCATCAGAGGTGGTGAACGCACTGCGCACGTTCCGCTCAGGTTTGGCAATTATGATGTACATCTTTGGGGTGAACATACAGCCCAGAGCAACAGTCACGCTGAGGCTGACAGAGAAGGACGTGGTGATGATCTTGTAGTTGCTGCCAAAGTAGATTGGCACAAACGCCAGCCATATTATGCACGTGGTGTACATGGTGAAGGCGATGTATTTGGCCTCGTTGAAATTTGCGGGGACGTTGCGGGTCTTGAAGGCATAATAAGTGCAACTCATGATCAGCAGGCCGTTGTAGCCCAGAGGGGCCACGACACCCACGTTGCTGGTGTTGCAGATGAGGAAGACCTCTTTGATGCTGGGGTACGATTTGATGGGTTCGGGAGGCTCCATGATGATGAGGGTGACCTCCAAGGTGAGCTGTGCGCCGACCAGGATGGAGGCGATGACCAATTGAGCCCAAGCGCTCATGAACCTGGGTTTCCTGGTGCAAATCTTCTTCTTGCTGCCCGCCAGGATACGGGCGATGCGGTTGGTTTTGGTCACCAGCGCGGAGTAGCACATGGCGGCCGAGAGTCCGACGAGCAGCCTCTGGAGGTAGCAGGACGCCACGGTGGGACGGGCGATGAGGGTGAAGGGGCACAGGTAGCCCAGGAAGATCCCTGCCAGGATGATGTAGCAGAGCTCCCGGCTTGAGGATTTGACCACAGGCGTGTCGCGGTATAAGACAAAGATGAAGGCAACAAAGGACGTGACTAGGATGCCCAGGCAGGAGAAAACCACCTGGATGATGGACTCTGGATTGCTCCACTCCAGGCAGCGCACGGGAATCGGCTCACAGCCTGAGAGGGATAGAAACATGACCATGTAAACACAGTCAAAAAACTAAAAACAGCTCATAGAAGTTTAAATGTTTCAGCATCAGCGAAGTGGTTGGATTTCTGGTTATCTAGAGAAAAATGTCTAAATAAGAGGCCATGTGAAGATAATGAAATGAAAAGTTTTAAAGGTTTGATTATATTGACACATTCAAAATGAGTCGAATACATTTTAGCCTGAGAAAATACAGAAGGTCTCAAAGTAGGTTTTTAGCTCAACTATAAATAAACCCCTTTCAACTCAGCCATGGCACGGCAACCAGCAGAGGAGGGGGGGCAATGCAGATGGACAAAGTAAATCCCTGCCTTTTTCATCGGCCCAAATAATATCTCCTTTGTGCTTCATGTTGAGGACACCATATCTTTTATGTTATTTTGAATTATTCATTTATTGTAGGACGGCAGTAAGGTTGGGCATTTTCTGTGTACCCAAAGGTCTTAGTAGTAAAGAAATATATAAAAATATGTGGAAGCAGGATGATCGGATGAAGACAGCATCTTGTCCTTGAACAGGCCTCTGAAAGTGGGCCAGACAAAGAGTGGTAAGAAAAGTAGGGCTGCTGCCGGATAAAATGTTGAAGATGATGAATGGTCTCAGGTGTCATGGGAAAGCAATGGAAATAGGACAGAACAGGTTCATGAAAAAGTGCCGCAAAAGATCTTAGCAGGGCAAACTGTACAGGTGGTCGGGGGGTAAAAGCTTGGAGGAACTTAACTTTCTAAATCGCCTCTAATAAGAATCTCCTCTGGTCTCTGAAAGCATCAATCATGCAACAGGAACTCAGCCTGCCATCACTGAAGTCACTGATCAAAATGAACGTACAATTTGCTGAACACAACATTTGTCTGTTCTAATCAGATTAGTCTTATTTGTCTTGGATCATTCCAACGAAGGAATTTCATTTTTTGGAGGGGGTGGGGGTTCATCGGGTTTTGTACTGGCCTAAAACCAGACTAAAGACTAAAACCAGTAAATATCAAGCTTCTAGCTGAGTTGTGATTTTATGTGAAGGGGTTAAGTGCCAGACGGATTGTTGGGTTGCCTGGTAACTAGTGGAGCATCCAGAACCTTGCCAATAACGGCCTATAAAACCACACATATCTGTTTTAGCCTGCAGTCACAGTACGGGTTAAAAACAAACAGACATAACATGTTAACTAGGACGCATTAAAGAGAGTGAGGAGTACAGGTCTACCTTCCAGCTCTTCGTCGGGCCACCAGCCCAGATCACAGGCCTTGCATGTGAACTCGTCCTGGACAACCTCGTTGTCCTTGCAGGCCGTACAGATCCAGCAGCAGCTCACTTCTCCCTTCCTGATCACCTGGTCGACAAAGAACGTAGGAACTTTTCAAGATACTTTCCAACAAGCTGCCATCAGTTTGTTTCAGTGTGGGGAGTCCCAATATTTAAACCTGGCAACCCAGCAGGTTTCCTTATTGATGGCTTAATACTGCATTAAATGAGTAAATTATGTGAAATCCATTAGATAAATCAAGAGAATTGCTGTTCTAATATTTAAAGATTAGTGACTCCAATGCAAAGACTGAACTACAAAGCTACAACACAGAGGCTCAGAGGTAACATGTGTCGTGACAATTTGTCCTAAGCAGGAGGGAACGTAAAGGATTTATCCCTCACCTTGATCTCTCCTTTGGAGCAGGGCTCACTGCAGACGGAGCGGACCATGTCGCTGCGGTTTATCTGCATCATGTCATCGTCCAGACTGAGCACGCCCTCATGCCAGGAGCCGATGTTGATGTAGTCATAAACGCCCGGATGCACATGCTGGAAGTTCATAATCTCATACCTGATGGTGAATAGAAAACCACCACTGAGAGGAAAGCCCGAGTTAACAAGGTTTCACTGACGCTGAATCGATTCTTAAAGGGGAAAAAATGAAAAAGAGGTTTACTGCTACAAAAACAGCATGTTGCATCAGAAGCAGACCTGTCAGGCCCGTGATCAATACTCGTGATTAAAGGATTATTTCACCAGGTGCTAATTTGTTCTTCATACCGTCATCTCTAGATTGCAAAGGAAAATTGATGGGTGATGATTCATATATGCTTAATTAGTGTGAGTCATCTTAGAGAAAGCAACAAATGTATTCATTTATTTTGCAGGGACAAATTAACATGTTCCCGGCAATTAATCTGTTCCCGGCAACAAGAGAAAACTCCTAATTAAATTTACACAAACAAATTAAGAATCACAATATGATGTTTATTACACTTCAGGTCAGCCAAGTAGATGGCTACCGTTGAATCTGAACCAAGTCTGATTATTCAAATGAAAAAAAAAAAGAAGTGAGTTTACCTTCCGGGTGAGTCTCCGTTCCCATCGAACCATATGTCCTCTCCAGAAACACCTGCGAAGGACGTCTTGAGGAGAAAGTCCAGCAGGTGGCTGCCATCGACGGGCTTCATGTTCTCACAGAGCCCAACGTGACCGGGACACAGGACAGCGTGCATGTCATGCAGCCCGTGAGCCATGGCGTAGATGGCATTGATGACAAAGCCCATCTTGCTGTCCTGGACGTAGTTGTCCTCCAGACTTTCGTAACCTGCCCACACATCAAGAACCGGTTAGGTCTCCTCTGCAGGACAGATGTTTAAAGGGAGGGGGCCTTACAGGAGGCGCTTCATTGCAGCAAGCAGGAGCATGTTGGGCTTTTCAGAAAAGTTTCTAAGGTTCAGGTGCGTCTAGCGTGATGCAACAGATTACAAAGGAGTGATAGAGTGCAGTTGGCATTCTTCTTATTATCCTCTGGATGCAGACAGCGAGCGGCACAAGGCTCTGCCTCAGCGGGAGGCCGCTTTAAAAGAACCGGACGCCTCACAAGATGGCTTCAAAGAAACCCTGTTACCATGGCGAGGCTATTAGTCTCTGCATTCACGGGTCAGGCTTCAATGAGAGTTGCTCTGAAGCACCGTGCCACCGGCGTCGCGTCTCGTTCGAGCGGAAAAAGGAAGCGAGCGTTCTCACGTGACCGGGATGCGTCGACCTCTGTTCGTAGGGTTTCTCCTCAGGCAAACGCAATGAGGGAACGAGACAGTTCGAACACACCCGATCGGTTCAGCGTAATGCAAGCTAGAAGCAGAGTAAGCAGGGGTGGTGTTTTGGTTGCCTTGTGTTAAATGTAACTTGTCAACTTAGCGTGAGCTGCGTCATGCACTCAGACGTGGGTGAAACAGAGGAACAGGTACGTGTGTTTGGCTGCAGCTGGTGAGGCTCTTTTTTTACATGGTTTGGGGTGGAAGGCAAGTTTTGTAAAATTCATACTTAGTAGAAAGGCAACTTTGTGGCTTTGTACTAAATAATTGTCCTCAAACACTATAAATAAATTAGTATAATCCAGCCTTGTATATTTGGAGCATTTTTTTTTTAAAGGATCATGCTAGGGAACCATATCACACCATTACCCAATTGCTATATTATATAAAAAATATATATATATAAAAAATATATCTAAAAAAGTTAATTGATGCTTTGTCACCTAAATCTCAAACTAAAAAAAGTAAAGTGACAATGTAATATCTCATGGGGATTCCTACAGCGCGTGACACAATTTGTCACTACCAAGGGATATACAGTATATTCAATATATTTCCATGACACTTTAATACAAACCCCAAATTTGATTTAAGTGACTGAAACTCAGGATTTTTGTCAGCCGTCTTCATAACTGCTACAAAAACATCTTGGTGGTTATTGACACAGCTCTTAATGTTATTCAGTAACTCAGATTGGTTTGCCTTTCTAAAATGTATTTGGGGATATTCATTTGAGATGATGGGAGACAATAAATTTCTGTTCAATTATTAGTTTATTTGCAGAATTTCTGAAAACATTTTCCCTCATAGATTTTGGTGCAGAAATAAGATTATTTAGATTTGAATTATTATTAAAACTGTTTTTTATATGTTATTGTTTTGTCTTTTTTTAAATACCTATTTTATTTTCAGGTAACAAAAGTGAACATTGTTGTTGTTTTTTGGTGTGTGTGTGTGTTAAAACGATGTTTTAGTTGATTTCATTTTTAATAATGAAAGATCGTGTTTAAAGGATCGCTCAAGCTTGGCAAGTATATTTTAAATTCTAAGTGCACACCTCGTCAGTCATAGTGTCAGTTCACTTAATTTGTCCTTCTCTCTAAACCCTGTGTATTAATTCACACGCCGCACAAATCAACATTTAACTGTGTGGTACTTGAGGCCGTGTGAGGCTTTATGAGCAGCATCCTCTGCCGGTGTGTTTCTCCACACGTGCTTTAAATCAAGTGACGGCCGTTAAAACTGGACGGCCGGGAAAACGAGTCTGCCTGTGCAGACAAACACATAAACAGTGAATTGGGCGTCCGATGGAAGCTACTGGTGATGACCCAGTTTAGCGGCTCCTTGCCTTTGACTCACTGAGCCGCGTGAGCTTCAGTCGTGACGCAGTGGTGTCGAGATGTCACGATGTCAACATGCAAGTCGAGTCTGCTTCTAAACAACCGCACATTCTCTCTCTGAATAAAACGGCTATACAAAGTCTCTAGAATACAGGTTATCTGTTACAATATGGCTTCACTGGTTCTGTGGCTCCATGCAACTCAAGCCGGATCAGCCAGTTACCATCTCACTGAAATGTTATTGGGCTGTTTGGTGCGACTTGTCACAAAGGGAGAGCGGATCAATTGTTCGGCTCTCTGCAGTGTAAGAAAAGACTAATTAAAACATCCCAATAGCTTCATATATTAGAGGTTTACTGAGATTAACAGTACCTTTAGAGAGAAAACGGAATGTAAACTGGCTTCCCAAATGACCAAATCATGGGATTAAATCTTAATATCAGTCAACCTCTACGTATATATTGCAAAAGTGAGGAGCATTATGATTCCATTCAGAGGGAGTCACTCACCGTCTTGGAGTTCTAAACTCGAAAAATAAATAACAAAATAAAAACAGTCGAAGTCACTATTAGAAGTAGGATAACTCCATCTATCTCTACTTATGAGGCAAACCAAGTATTTTAACAATTGCTATCAAGATACGATGCTTTGTAGGAATGAACACAAGCTTGATGCATGTACATAGTAAAGAAGAGAGGCTCTGTTCTCGTAAATAATGTGCAAACGCTGCAAAGGAATGAATGATTAAAACAACTGCAGAAAGTAAAGTGCAATGGTAAAAAACAATTCACTTGAAGAACCTGGAGGGCTGGCAACCGAAAAGGAATAAAATGTTTGTTTTTTTTGCTTCATGCATGCATTTATATTTACGTTTATCAACAGGATAAATGTTGAAGAATTAAAAAAAAGAAATGAATTTATCGGCATCAACGTCGTACATTAAGATTGAAAACGTAAATATATGTTGAGATACATTTGAAAAAAAAAGAAATGTAAGAGCAGTGTGCAAAAATATGAAAACATGCTTGTTGAGCATTGTTTCAATAAACCAGATACTTAAGCTAATGCATTATTTTAGTTCATTTGAAAAAGAAAAATGATTTAATTTACCTAGATCATCATCGTCTGTAAAGCCAAGTGTCACAGAAATGAACGATATGAGAAAAAAGATGTGTTATTGGGCTTGGACTTAGAGGGAATTTTACCCTCTGGCAGTTTAATTCATAATTTAAGAATGTGCTTCAGTTTATGGGGCCTTTTGGTTTTGTCCTCTGGGCCATTGCACACATCAGAACAGTTCAAATAGACAAGCTGATGTGCACGCTGGGGTCCAAACCTAAACCAGAAATACTGCAGCAAACATCTCAATTGCCCGACTAATTCTTCAGCTACCTGTGCAGTTTCGCGCGTAGTTGAGGTTCTCCAGCGGGTGGCCGGGGAGGCGGCACTGGAAGCGGTATTGCCAGAACTCCGGGAACCACGGGTTGCGGGTGTTGGCGTTGAGCTTGAGCTTCAGGAAGTAGTCATCAAAGGAGGAGACCTCGTCAGACTGCAGCTTCACAGTGAGGCCGCCCACGGCCTCCTGTTCGTATCCCTCCACCACCTCGACCCGGTCGGCCCAGCCGTCGCTGCAGGGAGAGCAACACACTGCAAATAGTGCTACCGGCTCCGGTTTGTGCCTCCCAAGCCTGAGGAGGAACATTTAAGCCACAGGGCTAAACTTCTGAAGAGAAACTGATGACCTTAGGGGAAGCGATAAGGTCATTCACATTTGATTTTAAGTTTAGTGTCGGCTGTGAGGTACGCAAGATTTGGGGAGTTTGAAAACAAGATAAATAAGGTGGAAAAATAGCATAAAACTGCCTAATTTCCTAAAGGTTTGAAGTTTTCCTGTGTAAATGTGTTCATATTCATATTCCGCTCTTAATATTTGCACTACTACCTTTTTATAACATCTGCTGAACGACAATTTCTCTCAAGATAAAGAAAGTTACAGTTATCTTTTTTGAGGTGAAATAATATGAATCTTTGGCATTTAGTCACAAACTAGCTTCTGTCAGACAAAAGGAAAAGTGTTGTTGTATGATGCCGTTGACGCTCTGGAAGTCTCTGACGGTGCCGTGATTGAAGCCACATGCAGCCTCACTAACAAGCCTCACAATGGATCCTGGAGAAACCTCTGAGCATCCCTTACCAACCTTGGCATACTTTACCAACCAAGAAAACGCCGCCCCGATCTACTGACACAATCACAAGTCTGGTGAGAAATCGCAGCTTAGTACTGTAGCGGCACAATCTGCCCCAGAGAGAAACAAGTTCTCACCACACACACACACTCACACACACACACACACACTCATAGGCTGTATTTATAGTTATCATGCTTGTTTATTTGATAAACAATCCTGCATTGAATCCTCTCACAGCATGCTGATGAGACATATTGCTTGCATGAAATGAATAATAAAGAAAATCAATAAAACCTCCCTTTGTTTGAGTTGAGTACTTCTTAGTAGTGTGGGAAAAAATCGGTGATGCCCTTATTTTGAAAACCTTTTTTCCATGAGTGATAAATGAAGGAGAATTCTACAACTATGTAGAATGCAGCAAAAATGGAAAACGCCTCACAACACGAAGACAATGAAAACATGAAAAACTCTGTTGAACCTGCATTGTTACTTTGCAAACAAATTAATTTCCAACTCATTTCATTAAAGCATTGCTCAGGAAACGTTGTGGTTTGGACTGAAATATTGGTATGAATATTACATCAGCTTATCAAGGTAATGTATTCATTTAGAATGCTGATACTGTCAACGTTATCCTACCTAGAGGTTTAGTTAACTCAAATTCTGCTTCACATGCTGTTTCAGCCTAAAAGTAAGCAAATACATTTGAGTCGAAGGAACAAATCTTTGTATTCAAAAGAGAATCATTCTCGCATACGCCGTACTGCACAAAATACACATCACCCTTTGGGCAAAAATATCGGTTACCAGCCTTCAAAAAGTCTCATTTGGCCAAAATCCAAAGCCAACAGAAAGGTTTGGCTTGGCAGGCCCCTCAAGAACAAACCGACAATGGCTGTCCAGTGTGACCGCATCAACAGTACCTGACCATCTGCTGCTCAGCGGCACACTCCCTCCTGTCCAGCCCTCTGAGTGCCAAAACAACACACACACACACACACACACACACACACACACACACACACTGCACGCGTTCAATTTGAGGGGAGGGGACATTATTGCAGGAGATTATTGAAAGTAGTTGCTCAGTATTCATGTCTACTGAATTGGGAAGACTTGGGGACAATCTTCAAAGCAAGACGGATTATCAACCGAGTCCACCGCACCGGAGCACACAACTGATTAATCCTTTTGTGAATCTACCGGAGGCTCGATTGACTGAGTTGTGGGGCGTTTGGGACGCGTGAGAAAAGGCATCTCTTTCCATCCTGCACACAGCAGAAGACGGGTGGCTGGTGACCAGCACCTCGGGCACAACTGCACGTGTTCGCTTACCGCATTGTTCTGAAAAACATTTTCCCTTTACACGAGTCCCCTTGACCCAGAAAAAAAAACACACACACACACACCCTCCATCACACTCCTCTCCTCCGTGGGGACAGCGGAGGAAATTCAAGTGGAAAGGGTGAGAGCAAGTTTAAAGTCTCTTTTCTTCCGGGAGGTTTTTTCAATCACCCTCATCAGCCTTTGTGAATAAAGTAGCGACAGATGAATGAGCCACTCTCGGTAAATGGACCACAGCTTTAGTGGGAGGCTAATAAATGTTTCCTGATTCCTGATTCCTGATTCCTATTTCAGGTGCTGCTCTTAACAGGACTTGAGGTGAGCTGAGACTCCACATAGAGGGAACGTCTGGTATAAGTGCTGATATGAGCTTTGATGTTCCCCGCTCCTCATTCCCCGGCTGGTGCTGGAGGTGCTGTCCCATATTAGCCCGTCCCGCCTGTGATCTGACAGGCAGGGCTTGCTGCGCGGATGCATTATTCATTGCTCAGCCTGACTCGAAGCTTCTTCCGCTTTCAGAGGAACTCTACTCCCAGAAGGAATAAAGAATCATTTGCTTGCATGTGAACTTTGTGTATAGCATCCATCCGTGTTGTCGTCACAGGATTGTGGCGTAATTTTAATGGAAAATAGTTCTGTTTCATGTCTTAATGTGTGCCATTATTATCGTATCTATTATGCTGTTTTGCAATCAAAAGTGTTTGACATCATATCAGTGAGGGCTGGTTTTTAAGGTGATTACAGCCATTGTCCACTGCTCTATTTCCAAGGTCACGAATGAACCTTCAATGTCAAGGCTGAACGAAAAGTCCTTAAAGCTCAGAAAGAACACAACTTAGCTCTGTCCATATGCATGATGTCATTGAAAGCTAAATGGACCTAGATTTTTTAGATTGTCAACTACAATTACCTCCACTGTCGGCACACTTGATATTAACCCGTGTGGCGCACAGAGCTGTTCCTTTTTTTTAGTTCTCCTGATGATTATGATGCCGTCTGAGTTTCATGCCCTTTCAAACCTCCTCAAAAGCAGAAATTATTTTCATCATTCTTTTTTGAAAACTCTTCAATCCCCCTCCACAAAAAACAGCAACAACAACGCTGACAGACCTTCCAATTAGGAGGAACTCCCCGGCTACTCCGAGCCGTCTCATGGCCATGAGGAGCCCTCGGACCGTCATGCCTTCACAGAAGCAAACCACCACTCTGGCTTTGGGCAGACGCTCCCGCAGCTTCCTCAGCAGCCTGTCGAAGTGCTTCTCCCCGGCGTTGCTGTAGATCTTGTCAGAGTGGGCGACGCAGAGGCCGTCCTGTGAGGCGAGCTCTTTGAACACCTCCATCCCACTCTCACCGTAGTTACCTGAGGAAGAGGAGGGGAGCTGTTAGCCGGCTGTCATTCAGCGAAGAGTCGACTGGTTTTGGTTGAGTTCATGGTCTCTTTCTTTACCTAAATCAGAATCAGAAGCCATTTATTGCCACATATGTTACGCATAGAGGAGTTTGACGTGATGAATTAGTGCAATAGAAGAATAAAATAAGATTAAGTGAAATATAAAAACATATCATTTGGATGTAAAGATGGCTTACTGAGACAAATATCTGTTCCTTTAGTTTTCAAGTGGTCTGTCCAGACTTATTTAGATGGAATCAAGAGCAGCACAACCAGAAAAATAAAACGGGTTAAAATAACCTCAACAGCAGCATACAAGGATGAGGAGAGTACTCTCACTTTAATTATTTAGACTGAATTCCTACTGATATATATATATATATATATATATATATATATTGTATGGACATTGCCAAAAGTACACAGATATTTTTTATCACAATAAACAAAGAAGGCTTGCAAGGTTTGGCTTTTTTATCATCTCTTATTGTGCTCAATACTGTGGGTGGAATCTTAATTTATAATCGATGTGCTTTGACATGCTTTTTCTTAATATATGGAATGTTAATATTAATCAAAATGTGTTGTACAGCAGGCAAAAGAGGGAAAGAGGACCTTTTTTAACAGCCTGGACCGTTAATTAAATGCAAAATAGAACAATACATTTTAATGCAAATCAAATCCAGCTGGCATCAAGAGCTGCAACTGATCATTATTATTTTCATTCATTCATTAGTTTGTCTGTGCAATGTCAGGAAATACTGGATACCAAAAGATCAGATGATCCCTAAAGATATAAAGACTCGAATTTGAACATGTAGTGGTGCGAGTGGAGATTTTAGATCCTTGAAAAGTATATATTGCATTTAAATGATTCAATGTTAATGGGTTGATCAAAATATCAATATTTAAGCAATTGTTGCAAGAGCCAAGGAGGCGTGCAAAACTAACAAAGTTGAACTCCACGCTGGCAAAACTGGTTAACCAAATAAAAAAATAACCCAAAAAGGTATTTTGCATTGAAAACATGCAATTGATCTCCACAGACTCTGATGCATAAAAGGAACTCTACAGTCTAAACCAGTGGTTCACAAATGAAGCGAGGGGCACTACTGGAGTACGTGTGATTTTTTTTTAAATGAGCATCCATTCAAAACGTTTTTTAAATAGTCTGTTTTTTCTTAGGGAGTGCTTGACATTTTTTAGGGACTACATTACTAAAAAAAGTTTGAGACAGATGAGCCACACGAAGGAGTTCACGACTGTTTGCAGCCCCCTGCTGTTAAAACATTGGTCTGCATTGATTAAATCAGTGATGAACTAGCAGAGGCGTTTGTGAGCTCCGGCCTCTGTGCTGAAATGAGTTAAGATGGACTGTCTTGTCTTTAAATTTCATCTTGCATGAAATAACTCCACGTAGACAAGGACTGTTGATTCTTTAAAGGCGCAGGATCCAAGAATGCGCTTTGTTTCGTTTGCTCTCAACATATGGACATGTTACCGGGGGATAAGAGCTAACGGGGCTAGCAACGCTAACAGTGCAAACTGCAGCGCAAACGCTGGCAGAGCTGACCGGGTCAACCTGAGGGGGTGCAGACAGTAACAAGGGTGGCAGCTGGGAAAAATAACATTCTCAATTATATCTCTACATCACAAAATATATGATACGTTAATTAACAGAATATTAAATCAGTTCTTTTTAAAAAGGGGTGCGGCTTTTGATTTTACACCCAAAGTTTAGGTTACTTAACTGCTGTGTCAAAACCAATTGAATAACGTCCGTGTTCAAAACTAGATGTGTGGTGGACGTGAGGGTCGAAGAACAAAGCTACAGAGTTGCATCATGGGCGATGTGGGAGCGAACGTTTTTGACCCTGACACTTAAAAGTTAGGATCACTTTTGCTGCTTCCCTTGTGGGTACCCCGACTCTATGTGAGGGCCGTACCAAATCCAACGTGTCTTACCCTCTGTGTGCACTGCGGACACGTAGGTCCAGTTGTACCGTTTGACGATATCCAGGAGGGCCCTGGCCTGAAGGGTGTCTGAGGGCACCACCCTGAGGAAGTACTTAAACAACGTCTTGTCGCTCAGGTCGATACTGGTTGCGGAATACGCGATCTGTGGGATGTTGAACAGCTGCAGGAGGTTCTGGACTTGAATTGCGACGGAGCTGGAGCCGGGCCCGATGACCCCCGCGATGGGCTTCTTGGTTGACGGCGGCTGACTGGAGGGAACCCCCTCGATGCACCACCTGGAGCCGTCCTCGTCGTCCCGGATGGAGATGAGAGAGTCTCTTATGAACTCGATGCTCTGCTCCAGGGCCACCGAAGAATGCCAGCAGGAGTCCCTGATTTCACAGCCCAGGGTGATGTTGGGCAACAGGTTCGGGTCCGAGTTAATCCGATCCAAGGCGTGGAACATGGCCTCCACTCTTTGGATGCCGTACTGCTCGCGGACCTCTCCGCATTTCCTCTCTGCCACCTTCTCAGCGGAGGGTTGGTGGTGAACGGAGAAGAGGGCACCGATTATAATATCCCCGTCCATCCTGGCCACCAGGCGAGAGGCAGAGCTGGGCACCGCTGACCTCTCATACTTGCCTTCAGACAACACAAACGCCTCGCACAGTAAAATGCTTACGGCAGTCAGGTAAATCATATTCGACATTGTGCCACAGCCGCTGAATGTAGAATCATGTCCACTTTGCCATGATGGAGGTCCATCAATCCACGTTTGGATAAAAGGGAAATCAACTCGGCTGCTTCTCCTTCACATTGTCAACCTGGATGGGAGACGGGGAGCAATAATTCATGTTTTTCACAAATGTAAAGAAGAGTGGATCAGCCTTCATATCAAACAGCTTCTCAGATTTGAACCACTAAATACTTTTCTTTCTAATCTGTAGTTGTATTTTGACCATCTTTGTGTTTTAGACTGTTCGGTCGTATACAAAAACAAAAAAATGTCTCACTGGACAACCACACACACACACACACACACACACACACACACACACACACACACACACACACACACACACACACACACACACACACACACACAAATAATAGCTACGGCAACGTTATTTGAGTCACGTTGCATTAAAGTATGCTGTGATCTAGATGGTGCACACTAAACAAGTGATACCAGGGATTAGATGTGCCAATCCCTAAGGGACACCAAGCACTAGGTCCCAGAGGTAAAAAGTTATCTATTAGGAACGTTTGGACTTTCAGGACCACAGACAGCTGCCTGATTCGCTCGTTCGTGCAAGCTGATACATTTCAACCTGCGACTGCGTCTTCAACTTTTACCCCTGAAAGCATCGCACAAGGACACTGTGATATTCCATCATTTCATTCATTCTCCCACCGTCTGACTGTGGCTCCTCGGTTGCAGCTCCACAGCCTGAGTCACATTTGCAACATCGTCACCTGCCCACGAACATGCATCTCAATTAAAGGGTGAAGCTCAATTCATGAAGCAGACTGAGAAAACGCTGCCGAATTAAGTCAAGTGCCCGCAAAGCCCGTAGTGGCGTGACGTTACCTACCTGCACCGGGCAGCTCTGGGCACAGCGCGTCTGTGTCTCCCCTGAAGCAGCCAGACTGGACTCTTCTGCCGAGAAAAACACTGTGGCACTGACTCTCTCTCTCTCTCTCTCTCTCTCTCTCTCTCTCTCTCTCTCTCTCTCTCTCTCTCTCTCTCTCTCTCTCTCTCTCTCTCTCTCTCTCTCTCCTCTCCCCTCTGATTATGAGGTCCCCCCTTCTTCTCCTCTTCCTCCCTGCATATTGAAAGCGGGTCACACTCACTGCAGTGCCCCTGATTTAGAGCCACAATCCTTCCACGTCAGACAATGTGACACCGATTAATGGCATTTTTCTGCAAGTGCACATGGTGGGGAAATAGAGCCGTTCATGGGAGAGATGGTAAATCAAAATAAAAGATATTAATAACAAATATATGTGAGGCGGAGGGTTGTTTATTATCCTGGTGGAAAGTGTCAAGAGACTGGCCAAACCACGTAATAAGAACCACTGCGTCGTGGCTGTCAATGGTAGAGAGATGTGATGCGCTTCCAGTTCGCATTGAGCATCTTGTGCTCTGCTGCCATCGCGTGGCTGATAACAGGCACTGCGCCTGCGCCATGATTTTAAAATAAAACCTTTTTTATCAGAAATAAAATAGAAATCAATACTGTTGTTTGATCACCCAATAAGATAGAATGACAATAATGCTATTGTTGCAGCTGGATAGATTTGAATCGTATTAATAATTCAAATACATATAATTAAGAAAAGAGAACTGATATGAATATCTTCTGATTTCTTTCAACATAATGTTGATGATTTCTTAACAATGTATTAGAAGAAAATAGAAGAAAATCAGGACATTTTGTATAATACAAGATGTTAAAACTAGGCAACATGTGACGTATGTCCGTCTGCGCTGACGTGACTTCCGGTTTTTAAAAATGGCGAATGGCAGCATTGCAGTCGGTAAACGAGCTTTGTTTTGGTGCTTGTCCTCCTGATTATCTGGAGCTCCTGCCACCTGAAACCTCTTCTGATGCAGCGATAGAAACCAGATCCGTTTGTGGAAGGCTCCGAAAGTAAATCTGCTCCTTTTCATTCGCTTGTTTGCTAATCCAACGATAGAATACGAAGCCTGACAGCTAACGTAAGGAAGGCTTCTCCTCTTGTATCGCTAACTGGGTTATGCATTGAAGACATGCCTACTCAGAATACAACTTTTAAAACCGTTGTTTTAAAATGTGCTCCAGGTACACAAACTAACTAAGTTATTGTGCTGGAAACAGTTTTGTCTTGTGACCAATACTATTAAAATAGTCCAAAAAACACAATCAAATAACCAGAGAATAAAAAGGGAGTTCATGTAGAAAATCCGGAAGCGTAATATGAGAGAGGAGAAAGCTGAAAAACAACTAACATAGACCAGATCCAAGTGTGAAACATCTGATTACCATAGTCTCCGTGTTGGAAGTGTGAGTGATCATTTGAAATGTTCTATCATACATTGTTCATCTCTGGCCTTCGAAGGTTAAGATATTATCAGCTGTCATCCGTTGGTGGTAAAAAGATCATTATGTCTGCCAAATATGAACACGTGTCACACCCAACTTACCTCATAAACACATTGAAAGTACGCCTCCTTGATTAACAATGAATTTGCTTTCCGCGTAGATCGTAACCATGAGCGGCCGGAGAAAGAGGGCCCCTCCTGTGAGGGTGGACGAAGACGCCAAGAAGAGGTTGAACTGGAACATGCTGGACGACCGCAAGAACGAGGAGATCCAGGAGGCGCCGACGTGCTCCGTTCCTCCCGTCGACCGGCCTCCCGTGGAGGCAGCCTGCACCAGCTCTGTGCGGCTTACAGGGGAGCTTCCCGGCACGTCGTCAGACAGCACCGCCGCCTCCGTGGCCCTCACCGTGGAGCCGGCTCCGAAGCAGGCCCACATCTGGAAGGCGCTCATCGGAGAGTTTGCCGTCCGGCCGGCTTGGGTCCCGTCGGACTGTGAACAGAGAGCTTTCGTGCTCCACAGGATGGGGGAACAGCTTTGCCTCAGTTACAGCAGCTGTGACCGGAGCTCAGGCTTGCAGTGGAGGCCGGATGAGGACACCTGCGCAGTGGAGTGCAGCCTCCGCGTGGTCCCGCTGGAGGACCTGGACTGGATGCAGAAGAGGAGGGTGGTGCAGCTCTGCCACCACGCCGCAGAAGGGAGAGTCAAGGTATGGAGGTATTTCAGAAAGGATGGAATAAAAACTATGACTAATTACGTCATGCCCTTCATCATTGAATAGCCAAATTAACTGGGGATTAACAGCATATTTGTTTAAAATAAGATAATCCTTTATTGGTCCCGCAGCGGGGACATTTACAATCTTTCAGCATCAAAGAGTAAAGTGCACAGAGAAACATAGTAAAAAAACAAGGTATAAATAAATGATAAGTAAGCATATTCACAGAAAAAGCTATTATGAGCTGTGCAGCCTGACAGCAGCAGGAAGGAAGGGCCTGCAGTGCTTCTCCCTCATGTGAAAAAGAGGCATTTCTCCCATCAGCTGTTGTCTCTGCATCCGGCAGGTGGGGATTTATTTGCTGGAAACTGGTCTCGGGAATCCAGAGTTACTCAGCGAGGGAAACGCCCGGATGAAGAAAGCAAATCAGCTAATGCAGAAGTTAATGGAGTATTTCTACGATTTCATTATCCCCGGTAAGGACGTGGTCCTAATGTTTAATGCTTCCTGTGCTTCAAAGGTCTCTCAAAACAACAACAACTGGTGTGTTTTTTCCATGTAGAAGTTGTAGAGAATGAGGATGAGCAGTGTGACACTGATCTGGAGAGGCAAAACGTGGAGGAGCTCTATGATTACGTCAGGCATCTGCACCAGAGGGAGAGCCGGGAGGTGACCTATGACGTCCAGCACAAGGCTCTCATTCCGGTTCTCAGACCCTATCAGAGCCAGGCCGTCAACTGGATGCTGAAGAGAGAGAAGTACAAGAACACTTCGCCTAAAGGTACTCACTTCTTGTCTGGTACGACAATACCCTGCTGTACTGCTATTATGTCACCGTTAGGATAATACTGAAGGCAAAGCTGCTAGTGGAGCCAGGAAATTGGATTTAGTAACAGTTTCTGAAATTTAGGTCACCACCAAAAGTGGGTAGAGGGCAAAAGTTGAACTACTTGATGATAGAAGTGTGATTGCTGCGTCAATATTTACTTTTTTTTGCAGAACAAATTCTGCATTTCCTCTGGAGGGAGTTGATCACTTTGTGTGGAAAGAAGTTGTTCTACAATCCTTTTACCGGCTGGTAAGAAGTTGAATGTTAACAGGTTAGTTCACTTGGGTCACAAAAACATATTTTCTCTCATACCACTGGAACAATTCACAAAGGCAGATTGTTTCTGTTTTACGTGCTGAAGATTGAAAACATTGTCGTACGTTTTAGATGCATTTATTCAATTCTTGGAGGAGCACAAGTTCCATTCTTATTGTGCAGCCAAGGTGTCACAAAAGGTGTCACAAAAGCTCAGCACATAAAACCAAAACACATCTTCATGGATTGGCATCATTACATGTAACAGGGAAAATATGTATTTTTGAATTTGACTCAACTGACCCTGTAATCTGCTGTTTGTTTTTTTGTAGATGCACACTTATCTTACTTACTATATTTTCAGCAGTTTTGTTTTGTAATTTTTCAGCCTAATCCGAGAGTTTCCCTTAGCGGGCGTGGAGTGGCCCGGTGGGATCTTGGCTGATGAAATGGGGCTGGGGAAGACGGTGGAGGTTCTGGCTCTGATCCTGTTCCACACGCGGCTGGACCTGCAGCAAGAGGCCCTCACCCTGCCTGTGGTGAGGATGCAGCTACATATAAAAATACAGACTTCTACCGTATTCTCTCTTAACAGTCACTGTGTTATTGATGAGGATGACAATTAACTGTCGGGCAACGTAGGATCTTTGTCTTAATATGGTCCGTTCGGAAAGCGTCATTGTGAAATCAAGTAATTGTTCATCTCTTTTGGTCTTGCAGGGGAAATCCGTAAATTATTTCTTACCGCCGCGTCCTCTGGAGAGGAAGAGAGAAATCCGCTGCAAGTCTGAAGTCCACCCTAAAATGAAAATATCCTATCCAGGTATGTCAGCCACCGTCCTGTGACAATCCCACCGCAGTTTGATTTAGATCATTTACAGGCATCTGGTTGTTTTTGTGCAGCTGTGCGCGTCATGCTCCTCACTGCCATTAAGGAGATGAGATCTGGCAAAGGAGCCTCCGTCAACGCCATCTTCACCTACATCCGCGCCACCTACGGCTACGACCTCTTAAAGAACCGCAACCACATCAAGAAGACTCTGGCGAAGCTGATAGACGAAGGCCTGGTCCACCGGGTCAAAGGTCGTGGCTTGGCAGGGTCATTTCGACTGGGAAAGAACTACAAAGACACAAAGAAGACATTAGCAGGGGCACCCAAGCCTGTAAGAATGAAGAGCGTCAAAGACAAATGTCTGATGCGGCAAATATTACTTGTTTGTATTATTGAACTTGTGTCTGATTTCTCTGTTTGGTTAGAACTCCAAAAACACAGAGAGCACGCCCAGGAAAATGTTTCAACGGCGAGCAAAGGAAAAGGCAGAAGCAGCTCTGCAAAACTCTCTCCTCACAGAAGACCAACGAGATCAGTGCTCTCCCGCATCGGACTGTCCAGCACCAGAGGAGACAGAAACAGCCGAGGACTGGGACGGAAGCCAGGACAAGAAAGCCGATCAAACGGACGACCTGCTGGACACGTCCACCGCCGCCTTACAGATGTCTCGTGAAAAAAGGGACTCCGAACCCGAGGAGGACTTACCCAAAACAGAAGATGTACAAGAAGAAAGAGGGGGAGCTCCTCAGCTTGAATCCCAGGAGATGGAAACCCCCACCAGAGCGTCTGTTGCCCCGTTCAACACCCCGGACTACCGCTTCGAGTGCATCTGTGGTGAGCTGGGCCTCGTTGACTACAAGGCTCGGGTCCAGTGTATGAACTGCCAGCTGTGGCAGCACGCCGACTGCGTCAACTACAAAGAAGAGAGCCGCGAGACCACGCCTTTCTACTGCCCTCACTGCCTCGTCGCCATGAAACCCGTCTCCACCGGTGCCACGCTTATC